TCACTAGTGTGTGGTAATGATAACAATGCGTAAATTATGAGTCATGCATCAGAAATAGCTGGTCCGGGAAGTAGATGGTAATCCATATGTTCGTACATGTTTGTCAAGTCTGTGAAAGCTATCCACAGAGAGTTTGTGGTGACTTCGTTTATGAGAGCGTTACAAACAGGATAAAATTCATAGTAGGAAGAGTCAGAGCGTATCCGGGTGTTCGCACTTCGATATGGAATATTTCGAAGGTTTCTTGGAGGAGCGTTCTGAGGATGTTCTGGCAATGTGCTCGTATTGGTGTAACTAATATTTTGTATGTCATCATCATATCGCCTCTTATTTTTTTACGGTTCAGCGGGAGGCGTTTCAGGTTTTAGAATCTGATCTCGAAAGACTTATGTTTTAGCCTTATCACCCACTTCATTGCCCGTGTATGAGACAGAATGTTCATCGCATGGCATTTCGACAGGTTAAGTTTTAACCCGTTGACTACTGCCCATTTTTCTATGTTTGTAATTTCTTTTTAAAATCAAGTTCATCATTTTTTCTTTTTATGGACCTCCATATATTTTTGTCGTCTGAGTAGATCACTGTTGTTGAGGTAAGTCGATCTTATAGGTAATTAACAAGCATGATGAAACTTCAGATTTTGAGACCGAGGTCACATGCACTCTGTTAACTTCGGTACGAAACATTATATTCTTCAGGTAGTTCCTAAGCCAAGATGGAAGACAGTCAGTGGGCCAATCTTTGCAAGGTTCTCTGTGAGAAGTTCATGCAGTTCTGTGTGGAAGGCGTTGCGTAGCTGAGTGAGACTATATGGTTCGCCATCTTATGGTCAGAAGCTTTTCCAGTTGTTCTATGTTCTGGGTAGATTTGTTACACGGAACCTATTTTTCCTAAACCTGTGTTGTGCTTCATGTAGGATGTTGCACGAATTCCCTTATCTATTCGCTCACTAGTCTTTGAATCACCTTCAACAGTATTGGGAGTGATGCGACTGACCTGTAAAAGACTTGGCCTTTTGCATCTCCCGTTTCGGAGACTAGAGCAAAAGTGGCATGCTTCCTTCTCTTGACAGCTGTTGCGACTGTAATGAGTGCCTAAATAGGCAGCACACTGGTGGTATGATGGCTTCTGCACACTGTTTCAGGATTACAGGTTGGCTGTTGTGACATCGTAGTGACTTTCGTAGAAGCAAGGATTTTAGTTTTATTAATGTCAAATCGAGTGTTAATTGGATATCTTCCATACACAAAACTGACACGAAAGTTTGAAAGTGTTCCGTCCTTTTAGACACCTGGTTTAGTCGATCCGTGAGGTTGACAGTAAAGACCTCTACCATCTCTAATTTAGTGAGATTTTGGCCATTTGGCTCTCCCAGGAGTACAGTTCTCCTGATTTTCGGGTCTTATTTTGGTTATGAATCTGTACTGATATTCCGGCTTAGCTCACATTTTTGGTTGGCTGGAATAAATGTACATCCGCTTTGCACTTCGGCACTGCATCTGTTTCTCAATGCCAAGTCATGGTTACTGTAGTGAACGAGGAACCTAGGTGGGGGAAGGCCAGTTTAGTATTTAATGCATAAATAAAGAGTGCCTTCGTAAAATGTTAAAACTATACATTAAATGCACTATTTGAACATCTTTCCTCAGTTGTCCATTACATGCCGCATGATTCTTGTTATTACTCTCTGTTTCCATTTCTGTTCCCTTCACTTCGATCTTCACAATCTTCAGCTGTGGTGAATTAGATTTCTGATTGGTGTGACATACTTTTAATATCTGTCAACATAAGAAGTGTAAAGACAAATAGATGCCCAAAACCAGTAACTCTGTAAGTTTTCGACGTTGGATTCTGGCCACATTAGTTTTTATGGACTCACGTAGCTGAAGGCGCTCGATCATGTTTCCTCACCAATTCACGAGTTGGAACGGCGTGCTCAGAGCCTCCTGAGATCACTAGTCAGATTAGATAGGTCACTTATCGATATATTGATAATCTATCAAATACATCATCCAATCTAGATGTTACTGGTAAAGTGTTGTCAAACAACAATACCTGTGGTATCTTCAACACCGTCTGCACTATTTAATTCCGCTAAGGAATTTACTGAATTCGCTGTTACTGCCTCCAGCGGTTCACTTTCAATTGTATGTGGTGATTTCAATTCATGTGATTGTAGCTTCCCTACATCACTAGGTCACCAAAACATAGTAGATTTTCCTACTCGTTTGGATGCTCATCTAGACTTCGTTTTCATTAATGTTGTCTACATATGCGACTCGTAAATGCGCTCAATTGTTTATCTCGGATCACTGCATAATTCATATGTAGAAAACATGGAAAGAATACATCCTTACACCAGACCAAAAAGGTCATATATAGGAATTAGTCAGAAGAAAATATACGAAATCTGAAAAGCATGTTTCGTACCACTAACTTGGAATTATTTACAGATCACTAACTAGAAAACTTCAGTGATGTTATTACTTGCTATCTTAAATTCTGTTTCGATATTTGTTGTCCCACTGAAAGCATTTTTTAAAGTTTTGATCGACTTACATCTTCACAGCTAAAACGACTGCGGAGGGTAAAAGAAAGAATATACAAGGAGGAAAACACTATTGAAGTTCGTAAGCTAAATGGTCAAATAAACCTGAGGATTAGTCGTTTCAATTCCACGTTTACTCAGAAACACCTATCTTGCATAAACTCTCCAACTATGCGGAAACTCTCTTTTTTCTTCTGCATGATCTGCCGTCTTACATCTCATAGAAACGAACGAGGTTTTGTCTTGTATTGAATGGTTGTCTGTTGCTAGTAGTCTCTTAATTAATCAATCTAAATATCAAGCTGTTAACTTTAGTCTATGACATGGACAGCATCAATAAACTATTTTGGGACCCCATAATGCTTGTGCCAGTGAAGACTCCTTGATACACACAGTGTCAAAGGTCAATTATCTTGGTGTTACTAGTTCCTGTGACATCGCTCGGTGTTCTCATGTTTTACTGTTGTCTACCGTTTGAATTACTACATAAAGGGGCTGCATGCCTCTGGGATTACTAGCCATTTACCCTGACAATTTGTCAATTCCTATTGTTCTTTACCCCTCTTCATTATACTTTCCGGGTTTTAAGAAAAGACTTCGCTGTACTGCGGAGAGTGCTGAAGGCAGTTAGCAACGTATGTGGTGAATGTTTTGAGGACACTATTATTATGGTTGTGGATGTACATTATAGCAGATCACGTACAATTGTGTTTGTTCATATCTAATTTGGCTAAGCACTTTTGTTAACTTATTTAACGGACAGTCATTCGTACAATAACAACCTATGTATACTATTGTAACTTTATTATGCAAGCTTGAGCGTTGCTTACTGCCTACGCATATATTCATTTTGCTAACCTGACTATTAATTGCTTAATTGATTCGATGATTCATTCATTTCCATGTGTATATACATGTACATCTTAATCCTGTTCATTGACTGATTGATTCGCTTGCTTTACGGGACTACTACTTTCATGCTTGCTTACTGTTCCTGTGCATGGTTCAATAATAAACGCAATCAACAGTTCGTATTCGTCCTCTGATTTATACACCATTTGGGGTGTTATAGAGTAACAGTAATCAGAACCGACAAAAAATGAAGTTTAAGGATAATATCGAATATCGAATATTGTACCAAAATATGACATTGAGTAAAGCCGTTAATAATAATAATACGAGGAAACTGCATAATTCATATTAAGAAAGAACAGTGATATTGTGGATTTTAGTATAATATTTAATATGCCATGACGCTGTTTGGCCAAAGGGGTGAGTGAATTGCGCGCCTAAATTCAAGACCTATTATTCTAAATCTGATTGGTTCGCCCATAAATTATAGTCTCGCCACTTCAGTCCATTTTTAATTGCGTGGAATCCATTCACAAAATTTCTACCACAGTTTCACACATTCACACAGATTACTACTGGTTAACCATATTTCCTGAAAGCTTATTGATAAGCCAAGGGAAGAAGAAACATTATTCTTTAATGAGAGACTCAGAGCTTCGACATGAAGGTTCACACATACTTTATTAACTCTGGTGTAGTGCTCTAGGTCTCCCAGGTGGTTTTTCATTCGTTTGAATCATCAACGACTGACACCACTAAATCCTGTCGATCATTTCGATATAACTAATATTACAGGTTTATATAAAGTGGGTGAGACTTGGTTGGCAGCGAAACTCATTGGAAGTCACTATTATATCATGACCGTTTGAGATCATCATATTGGAGAGAAGAGTAAGGGAATTGTGATGTGAAGAAGTTTTTCCTAATACAGATTCCAATCAAAGACTCCTAGTTACACAGCTGTACTAACTATTGAAACTAATACAAATTTTCTGATTTGTGGCATATATTGAGTTGCTGAACCTTGAACTCCCACTTTCTTGGAGGAATGAAACATAAAAATGATCATTTAGCAATAGTTTTCATTTATTAAAATAGAGGATATTGGCCTTCCTACGAGGTAAAACATTCCCTTACAAGCTACTGCCATCTAGTACGACTGACGTAGTAGGATGAACAGAAATTTCCTCACCCATATGGTTATTAGATATGCAGTGGGCTTCTAGACACTCTAAGTAGTTTTAAAAGTTTCATAACTGGTTCACTCATAAATTATTGTCCTACCCTCGATAGTCGAGTTCTACACAACGTCATCATCACATATACAATAAATCGAAAACTGGGAAGGGAGAGAAAATGAATTTTTCTGACTGTTTTGTTATTCCCTTGAATGACCAATTAGTTACTTAGTAATGATAACAGACTTTTTATTGATTTTTCAAGGAGTTTGACATCTCGCATTTTGCCAAATTACGTTAGCAGATATATTTCAAAGTATTTCTTGCATAAATTGAATTTAGTTAGATAGATGGTATAAGTACCAAGAACAACAATATCCATTTCAATTTCATTCATCCACTGTTTATTCCCCATGCTTTTATTAAAACGATTCATCCCATCCCGATATTTCATCTTCTGGCTCTTCTGTTTCTTCTGGATATTCATCGAAGTGTCTGAGATCACTTTGTGATGTTACCTTTTTTATAGAAGAGAAAAAAGTAGAGTAATGGGCAAAATCTTAACGCAATGTTAGGTTAAACAGATCTAAACAAGATTGTTTAGGTGGTGCCGATCTTTCGATTAAATCAGCTATAGATTCTAACTAATTGATTCCGATTGAGTACTATAATCCAAGCGTGTACTGAAGTTTCTAGATTTATTCATAGATGTGGACGTATTTGAATATTTCTGACAAACTTCAATCCAGAACAAACCAAATTTTCCATGTTATTTGGTTTTTTGATAGGTTTCCAGGCGATACCGTTTAAAACTGAAATAATATCCTCAATTTTGGAACAGATCTTAATCTAGACCTTGGTCTCGTGCTGCTCAAAACTCATGGACAAGGTATGTGCATGCAGTTTAGAGAGAAAAAAAATACTATCCATGTAAATTGAACCCACTTCGCTCATGTTGCGTTTGGTAACTTTATAATTATCTGTTAAGGCAGCGTCTGACATCCTGTAGGAGTGTCGTTTTCATGCCAGTTGGTTAATGAATAACAAATAACGTCATGTTATTTGTTTGTTATTCATTTCTCTAAAACTTCGGTACCGAAATATTCAAATTTATTGTTCAGATCTGCTCATAATGAGGATTGGAGGGGATCACTTAAAGTTTCTGGAGCTAGTGGTTCAAGAGTGTTACACACACAAATATTATCTTACAAGTGGAGAAAGGATCAAGTCAACATTCATATTCCAGCTTTCAGTTGTTAGAAATGAGATTTAACAATAATATTGAGCAGATAAATGTTTTTAAAGTCTTTATAAATCACGTCAGCTATTCATAGTGAACAAAGTGCCTATTGAAATATATTTTGAAACATAATTCAAATGTGCATTGTTTAAATTGGCATTTAAATATATTAAGAACTGGTTGTACTAATGAAAAAGTATATTGAATTACTTGTCTTTCATATGGTGCTTTTAATACTCGTTTACGTAATCCAACCCAATCGAACCCTTCGAACCATACATGCCTTTCGATTTCACGTAGTCCTTCTTTTCCTATACCATATCGTTCAGTCGGATTTTCACTATGAAAATTAAAGAGAACGACAAACAAATGAGATGAATAATATTGTTTATGATGACATTAAAAATGAACTTATATGAATTACTAATTGAGTAGAAAAATTCTTGTGAATAGAAGTAGCACACATAATTAGGACCTTTGACCTAAGAACAAAATTCATTCCTTCATACTTTTTTTGACCCAGGTAAAGTTGAGTGTAAAAACGTTACATGAATGAAGTCACTAAGAACACCTCAGTATCAATACTATGAGTCAAAATCTGTCGTAGAAAAAAATTATGTCTAATTGTCTAACAGCCTAAAATGGGATTTTTGTTTATACTATTCCTTTCACTATTAGAACTAATACTTTTTACAGACTTTTTTGTGATACTATGATTCTAACTAGAAATCAAAAAGAAACCTTGTTGGAGAGATTACGTGTTGTTCAAACGCATAATAGCCATTCAGTAACAACTCATGTTAGCAAAACATTATGTTTTTATTAGAACAGCACATCAGTTATTGGATTTTAGAGACTACCGACAGGAAGAGGAGTCGAATACCTAACAGTTGAAAGTAAGCAAACATATCCAATTAGGATTGAATAATTTGTGTCATTTGTAGAAAGAATCACATAAGCAGTAAAATAATTATCTCATTAGCGTGTATTATATCGTTATGCACTATGATAAGCCTATGAAATCCGTAACTGAATCTACAAACCAATATATATGTACATAATCAAGTTAGGTGAAAGAAAATGTTTTCCCTAAGATTTCCCAAACATTTCCTCAGAAACGTTTTTAAAACATACGTTTATTCATAGGTTCAATGAAAGGTTTTCCATAAATTAAACATTAGCACTCGAAAGCGTGTGTAATCAAAAATTAAAATGATGTTTAATGGTTTAAAAGCAGATTGTGTAATAAGCTTAAAGTGGTAGGTATTTTATTGGCGATACCATGTCAAAACTAAACAATAAGAAGTATCTTTCTAAAAAAACGCTTTAATTCAGAATTTACTGGATGTCTTTACATTGTTTATTTGCACGTATGAAGAACTAATAATACCGAGGAATTATTAAAAATGAATAAATGAGCTTACCGACAAAGTTTTTTAACTAAAGATTGAGCATTTTTTGACATTCTTGTTGGAAAATTAACAGCATCTATTCCTTTTAATATAATTCCATATGTACGCATTGTATCCGGTGATTCAAATGGTGGTCTGTGTCATGAAAAATTGTCATTGAAATAAAGAAATAGAAGTCGAATAAAAAGTAAATTATCGACTACAAAGTATTTCACATAGTCGTATCTCCAATCAAACGGACGTCAAATGTATCGGATATTCAGTATTACATATTATCTGTTTTAAGTTAGTGATTTACGTTAGAGTTTGATATTATTCATTAGATTTTTTCAATACAATTAAGACATGTAAATAGTCGGATTTTTTTGGCTGTCAAGATAGCTTACTAGTATAAAATGGGAGTTTGAGAGTTCTGTTGCAGTATTCGACTCAAAATTGTTAAGTTCCAGATTTGAAACTTACTGCACCTTATTCGGTTCAGGTAACCAGTGATTTTTACTAGTCGACACATAAATATGGTACTGTAGGTCAAGTTCATAAATCTGCACTTGTCAAATCAGTTACATTTATATATTTCCTGTTATCCGTTTTTGAAATTCCATTCATATTACTTTATACCGATATTATGAGAACAGTTGTTTCGAATATGGAACTGATGATTAATTAACAGTACAACTTGACAATTACCACTCATATAATTTATTGTAATAATTATCTGTTCTTGAAATATGTCTGGTTTATTGTATAGAAGTTTTAGCAAAATGTGTAGCAATACACGAAAACCCTTACATGCCTGTACTGGCTACCAGATTCGACAAATCAGTCAAGTGAAACCCTAATGGTCTGAAGATGGTTATTCGGTGTGAGAAAATTCTAAGCAATTTCTGTGAACGAATCATTCTTTAGTTTGAGGGGAATTCTACGTTTTTATGTATCCATTCGTGTATATATATATTCTTCTTGAACCCAAGAAGAATGTAGATAAATAACTTGGTGAATTTAATTGTCATTCTTCTATGAGGTCAGGCGTCAGAGATTGTTTGTTTCATTTCATTCTGAGTTCAGCAATCGTCTTTGATTATATTTTATTGAGAATTTGATGTACGTTAGTGAGAGAAAAATATGACTGGACAAACAGACACTTGGCCTCGTAACTAATAATTATGTGATTTTCTTCCCTGTTATTGATTTTTACTCCGGAATCATTGAAGTTGGCTGTTTGTAAATGCGTTGAATAAAGTATTATCTAGTGTTAATCGGCTTCTCTATTCTTAGTTGTGAATCATATATCTGATATAACGTGACTAGTCTCATTATTGTATTGACGTATCATCGTAGTTTGCCGGAGAGAGAAAAATATCTTAAACTATTCGTTATATCAGAATCATACCATAATTTTCGATATGATAATTAGTTGTTGAAATAGTAGGACTTTGGTTACTTTTGATATCATCTAATAACATTTAACTTCATTTTATAACGATATGTAGAGAGTTACACAGATCAGTTTTATCTGGCTAGTGATCATTTTAACAAAAAAAACGAGGGTTTTAAACAATCTAAGTTGAATCACTTAACAGTGGAAGATCCGATCGTTCATCGATTACACTGTAAATACATTGGAGTAAAAATTCTTCCAAAACAAAAGTAAGGAATTTGTGTTTTAATAACAATGATAATAACGATACTTTTCAAGAACACTTACAAGCCTGTTAGTAGTTCAAATAACAATACACCTAATGACCAATGATCAACAGCGATGTCATGACCTTTATTTAATATTACTTCGGGTGCCATATACTCCGGTGTACCACAGAATGTCCATGTTTTAGCTCCATATGGTAGCTGTTTAGCAAATCCAAGATCTGTCTATATTTGTTTACGTGGTTAGTTTAGGAAGGTTAGAAAAATAAAGAAACCATTTTAGGAGTAGGAAGCACAAAATATAACCAGTTAACCTTTATTAGAGTCAGTTATTCAGTAATGAACAAAGAAGTATCTAGTTCAGTGAATTCCCCGCTGGTTAATTTTCGAGGCGAAACAAATGAATAACTGTTTCATCTAGGCTTGAGAATACTTATAGATGCACACATGCGAACATGGTTGTAATGAATCCAAGAATCTTCCAGTTACAGTTTGAGTTCATCATACTTAGACTACTAAGCAGTAATCTAGTGATCCGCATTTCCAACTTTGAACAATCAATAATAATGAAAGACGATCATTTGATGCCATTGATGATATATTGTCTAATTTCCAGTATAGCCAAGTTCTGTTGATCCTGTTAGTTTAAACTCCCTTTTGTTGTCTGACATGCTTATACACAGAAAATAAGGACCATCAGATTTCCGATACGTTTATTAAAATAATCATACTAAGCACTAGGTCTGAAGGTACTGGTTTCCACCACATATTGTATGTACATCACTGAAGGATCTGAGACAAAATCCTGCACACGCTATCCACTAATCAGTAATTTTTAATATCTCCCTAGATTATATCAAATGCTAAACGATCTCTACAAATTCTATGGCGTACAAACTATGTTTATGTCTCACTGTGGTAGTTAAAAGTTTCAAGACTAAGCAAAATATTTATCTATTAAGTTTAATAATGTAGTGAATAATCACTTAATCTATAGAGCAGATAAAAATCTATGTTTATACTTACTAGTTTACAATATCCTTGTGTATCCAGCATAATATTTTCCGGTTTTAAATCACGATATACAATATTTTTCCTGTGTAAGTAATCCAATGCTTCAACTACACATGCCATATAGAACTGTGTAGCTTGTTCCGTGAAAAAATATCTAGTTATACAATAGAAATATATAGGAAAATCAACATTCGAATATTAAAGTATTAAGAGAGAAATAACTAAAGAATAATGAATCAGATAAATGAAAATAAACTGTTTAGTAGTTGTAAGCAAAGATGGATAGTGGCTAGCAGTGGAATCCGGGATGCGCGTCACTTCGTCCTATTTGGGATTCGTCAGCTGGATGTACCTGCATCTCAGAGTTGTTGTTCACTCCGGGACTCGAACACAGTACCTTTCGCTTCAAACGCCATCGCGTTATCCACTCGACCACTGAGTCCTGATAGCCACTTGCATGTGCTTGTGTTTAGTAATTGCATATAAAAATAATTTTGTTAAATTGTTGTAATACTGTTATGCAAAATAAAACTGATGCTTATAATATAAATATGATATTGCAGACCAAACGTTTCTTGACAGTGATGTTAAAGGATTGTGTATTAATTTTAACTGAAATGTATTTAAAGTGGAGGTTTTTTTCTTATAACACTAAAACTGAATGATCTGATGAGACATTTAACAGTAGCTAATAATTCTTTAATTGGATCTCGTTTTGATTCATAACTGAAAATTGCTATTGAACAGTTTTTGAACAATTTTTACAAATAAACTTTACATTATTTGCATATCTTACTAATTATTTAGTTCTAAAGCAGAATTATTCATTTTATGGTTGAATTCATGAGCCAACTAGAGATAGACCACTATGGAAAACCTGGAAGCAATGGACGACAGTTTCATCCTAATATGGGACTCCTCAACAATGCTCATTCACTATTCTGCTCACGAGATTCGAACCCAGAACCTACCTGTCTCGCTTGTGAACGCTTAATTTCTATACCACTGAGCCGTTATCCAACGGTGTGAATATGTAACTTCAATCAATCCACAAATTTATTTATATTTAAAGATGTTTCAAAGTGTGTTACTTTATTATGCAAAAGTAAACTAATGAAATGGTATTAATGTACATGTAGGGAAAGATTAACGGATTAAAAGAGAGTGGTAGTAGAATTCTCATGTTAGAAATTAAGACCATAGTAGAGTGAGTTGTTTCAGTTTATTTTTGATTCATTCAGTTTGGGATTTACTATAGGTATAAAAAAATATCAATAATACAGAGGAAGTGAAGATGTACTATCTGTGGCAAGTTTCTTTTTAATTTTTAGATAACTGAATTGTTAGTCTGTTGTAGTTGAACCACATATTTTAACAAAATACTTAATATTTTACATATTATTCACCTGTCGCTATCGCTTTTCAACTGTACAAACTAATGCTCTTGAACCACTTAGACGCAATGAGTACCATCTATAAGAACTGGTGAATTAACAAATATGTAAAGAATTTTTATAACAATATTATGTCTTAAATGATGTATCCTTTTCTTTGGAAATTTGCGTTTCAGTAATCTAAGCTACGTTTCAGAATAGTCATTCATGATATACTACTGTAGCTGCAAATAACTTGTTAATGTTGTTATTGTTCATGTCATATCTTTTGATTTTCTGGTAAAAACTTTCAAAAATGCAACGCTACAGATCTCTTAGAACAGGAATTCTTAAGCTTGAGGCGAATGAGGCTGTCGTTTTTTGATTTTAGTAGTAACAAAAAATATATATTAGAAACCACAAAATAACATAAATAGTCACAAAATTTAAACTCATGATGAAATAAATTGTTAGTAGATGATTTTTGTATTAGAGCATTTGAAGGAATGCACAATAACAAAATTTGCAGAATCTTATGAATTCATTCCATTTCAAAATTTCTTAACAACTGCATTCAGAGTAAAGTTATAAAGAGTAATACAATCAGAACTAAGTTCAATACTTACTTAGTATTGTATGTTTGGATCTTTTCATTGATGTTTTTAGGACTGCAACTGGTCAGTCTCTAATTGGCCTACGTGCATACTGTGCGCATTGCCTCGATATAGCCTTAATTCACAAGCATGGTAAGCAAAGATGGATAGTAGCTAGCAGTGGAATCCAGTTTGACGCGCGTTTCGTCCTGTTCGAGACTCGTCAGCTGGATGTACCTGCATCTCAGAGTTGATGTTCACTCTGGGACTCGAACACAGTACCTTTCGCTTCAAACGCCATCGGGTTATCCACTCGGCTGTTTTTGAAGCGAAAGGTACTGTGTTCGAGTCCCAGAGTGAACATCAACTCTGAGATGCAGGTACATCCAGCTGACGAGTCCCAAATAGGACGAAATGCGCGTCCTGGATTTCACTGCTAGCCATTATCTATCTTTGCTTACCATGTAAGTTCAATACTGTTTACAGCTGACAAGAACCTTCAAAATAAAGTAAATTTCATTTTATCCTGGAAGAATCTTGTTATTCTTTCCTTATTCCAAGTTATCAAGAGAAACAAAAATATAAAAATGTTTTATTGTTGTTTAGTAAATTTCAAAATTGGATAATCAAATAAAGCGCTAATTCAAAATCACAGCAAACGCAACTAATCTCATGCAGATATTGGAAAAGAAAAACATATGTTTACAAACAAACCCTTTTGTTCTCCTTTATATTTTGTGTAAAAAAATAAATGAATGCAGGTAAAATAAAGCATTTTATGTCTAGAATAATTTATAGATATAAGATCATGTATCTAGCACGACGTTTCTGACGTTACTAAGAAGATATGAACAGTACAAAATGGCATTATTATGTTTGCAATAGATATGAAGTAATATAATTAAAACTAGCTGATTGAAATTTATTCAGTTTAAGGACAATTTTCCAGGTCTTAGGGTAAGGATGATATCGTTTAGCCATTATATCAAAACTAAATGTTAGTCGTTTTGAGCTTCAGTCAATGCCTGATGGATGAAGACAGTCGGTGATCTTCGGAGTTGACTATATCATCTATTAAAATGGGTGAAGATCATGCTGTATCATCCGAAAACTGACTTCACTTCCAAGTGAAAAACCTTAAATTTTGACTGACTGGTATAATAATATAATGTTTTTCATAAGATCTGAAGGTCTAGTTTGATTGTGATGAGATTCGTTGGTATCCATTGATACTCAATAAATAATTATCGAATATTCGTTAGTTTTCAGTGATTTTCCATCTAAAATTAGTTCGTTATGAAAACTATTTTTAAATTGAAATCAGTTTTAGTTTATAATAATAAACGATGTCTCTAGTTATAGACATTGACCAGGGTTATGAACAGATAATAATGTAACTACATAGTTGTTGCGCTATCTCAATTTGTTCTAAAATAGAAAATACTATTCAGGTATTAAAGTCAATGGTTTGTAGTTTGATCTCGTACGTTCACTTTTTAATTGTTATGGATTTTGAAATTAGAGATTTTATTCTTTTATTGATTTTGCATAAGATACCTATTGCATAATAACAAGCTTTCTTCATTTAATTAAAAAAAAGTTCTCTTCTCATATCACTTCGAAATTACACTTTATTATCAGAGTATTCATTACGAAAGTGTCATTAGAAAAATGCCTAAACAAGCAAACATTCATTGTGAACATATTGTAAAAGTAGTTGATGTACTTGTACTTGATTATTTGGATTGAGTCTAACAGTTTATCACAGAGTGTAATTAAAGTACCGTGAACATAATAGAAATTCGCTTCATTTTGAATACTACTGAAAACTCTAAAAAGTAAATTAGTTTAACCGTTTATAAGTCAGTTTTTATCATGATTTAATCTAAGCTGGAGAATAAATTGAATAATTTCTGAGCACTGAACGGGTGCCTCGTTTTGAGCGAATAGACCTTAGTGATTCTTACAAATGAATCAAGTGATTAAACCGAAGACCTTGGAGTTTAAAAGGGATCATGATGTCTTCAAGTAGATGAGTTGAGACTCGATGGTTGAATTTTCTAACTAAAAAAAATTGAAGTCCCTAGATGGATTTAATTGTCAACTCACTTGTCCTTCAAAAGAGACCAAAGTTCACCACCCAGACATACTTCAAGCAGTAAATAAACATATTTATTGTCTCTGAATGTTTTGCACAGTCTGAAAAGAAGCGTCAACAAAATAGAGAAAGAAATGAAAGCCTAAGTGAACAGCATTGTTTTCTTAATGACAAGTTGAAAAATAATTTATGATGAACTAGTTGAAAGATGAAAACCGAACGCTTTTGTTATCAAACTTTTTTGACTTGACATTTGAATATAGATGAAAATTGTTATAAACATTTCGTTACTCTGGTCATACTAAGTATAAAAAAGCAACTTCATGTATTGCATAACTGCATCTTTATTCATACATTAAGACATACTCAAAACTTAATTTTAATCTCAGTTATACCGGTTCATTATCTGATCACACTATTATTATTATTATTATTACTGTCAGTGTTATAATCTATGATCAAATTGCTGTCGCTTCATATAACTAGATTCTTCACAAATAAAAATGATTAAGTCCCATGTAATATTCTCTGTCATTTTTCTAAGGTTTTCTATATCGTATCGAATTTCCATAACCAATTCAATAACAAAACCATGTTAAACTGACGAGACTAAATTTTTTGGACGACCTATGAACGAACCTTAAATGACCTTGAGAAATATTAGCCAATCAGAAGGCAGTTAGTATACAGTAAAAATATATTATACAAAACCAAAGAATTAAAGTGGAAACACTTCTTTTACATGAGTCAAAAACTTCTCAAGGTCAGATATAGGTTCAGAAGTCCTAAAATCATAGTGCATACGGTACAGGAACTCATCCATATGACTCCATATTAGTCAACCTCTGGAGCCATGATAAGTTTTCAAAGATTCTTTTAGCCTCAACCACATAGCTTTATGTTGTTGGTATGGTGGTATGGAAAAAGGTTTAGGGTTAGAGTTAAGGTTTAGGGTTAGGGTTTAGGGTTAAGAGTGAGACTATAAGTTATGGACGATCTTTGAGCAACGCTAGAGTGACCCTGAGAGTGTCAACATAATAACTAAGACTAAATGAGGGTATAAACCTGTGTGAAGAATTCAAATTATGATTTACAGTTCATCGTTAAGGTTAGGAACTATACTTAGGGTTTTCATCACGAACTGACTATGATGCCAAAACTCTATTTATCCAAATGGATAATTGAATTTCACGCCAAAATCTTAATAATCACTTCTCTTGTAGACGCTGAATTATCACGTCTTCTCTAAAATCCGTTGTAAACCGACCGTACGTAAGCATTAGGTACCGAACTTAGCGCCCTGACCTTGAAAGCCCGCGGAATCTTCTGATTGGCTCGTCCATAAAGTTTAGTCTCACCGTTAAACTTTGTTTCAAGTCATATAGTTTTTTGTAACCCCATAAGTTGTTGATTTTCGATGAGAAATTAGGAATTAGAATATGTATTCATTTTGTTCTATAAATTTTATTGTTCTCTCTTTAAACGGAACAATATAAAATCTTATAGCTTTTAAAGTTAATACTAATAATTTGGTTCAGATTGTTAACAGAAATTCATTTAGTTTGAATAGTGATTTCAAGTTATATACTAAAACTTCATAATATTCAGGACTTCTTGATTATTTTCATGTCAACAACCTGCTTGTTTCAATACTATAGAAATAAATGTGTTAAGAATGAAATATAAAATGAATAACCAGATCAATATAAATGTATAGGATTATTATTAAGAAGGGTACACTTTGAGGAAATCACCCAATTATGTCACAAAACAAGCCCCCACATGGAATCCTGAAGGCCAAAAGAGAAGAGGAAGACCAAAGAACAGATTACGCCGAGAAATAGAGACAGACATGAGAAGAGTGAAAAAAACTGGATGGAACTGGAAAAGAAGGCCCAGGACAGAGTGGGTTGGAGATTGCTGGTCGGCAGCCTATGCTTCATTGCGAGTAACAGGCGTAAGTAATTATTAAGAAAGTGTAAAACAACGTCAAAATGAACTGATATCAATGACATAAAGATTACAAAATAAAAATCAATCAACCATTTTACTTTTTAACTCTAAGAGATACTTTATTAATAATCACCATATTAAAAGATGTTTCGCGGTTTAAAAATCAATTTATTTGTACTAATTTTCATGTATCTTATGTGTATTTTTATTATTTGGGTATTAATACAAAGACTTAACAAAGAAACAAATATCAATTATTCATTTGGTGTTGTTTGAAGCGAACGATACTGGGTTTGAGTCCCTGAGTGAAGATCAACTCTGAGATGCAGGTACTTCCAGCTGACGAGTCCCAAATAGGACGAAACGAACGTCCTGGATTCCACTGCTAGCCACTATCCATCAAATATCAATTATTTTTTAAAAATCCCACAAAAGAATACATAGGTATTTCACCCATAAAGTATATAAATAATGATATTACATTTATAATGCATGTTGCCTTTGTAGTGCTTAGCTTAAATGAAAAAAGATGAATATGCTTGCAGTTTAATCCCAAGTTCATTTGGTCATGAAGTTGTTCATTATCTAGACTTGGTACAATGAAAATTGATGCTTAAATGGTTGAACAACATACTTAAAACTCCAGTGAATCAGTGCAAATACTGCTAGTTTTTGTTTTTAGGAGGCTGAAATATCTCAAGGAACAGTATTGACAGATTGATGAGCTATTGAATAACAGTGACATCTTGAAATTAAAAGTAGCAGTCAGATTCGTCAGTACTCAAATCTGACCTTAGATGACCATTATATTCTATTGTTGAATAAGGCTACTCAGCTACTTAAAGTAATGTTTGCTACTTAGACAGGTGTGACGATGAATGTCTGTAGTACTATGGTGCGCACAACTTGTACGAACAGATATAAGTAGTATGTATTAAGAGTCGAAAGTAGAATTCCTACGGACAGAGGAGAAAAGTAATGGGAAGGAAAAGTAAAACAGAAAGCAATTAAAACAACATGAATGAAAGAACGATAAAGTTTCTAAAGGAAAACTCAAGGAAGATTTGGAAATAGTGTATTGAATGTATTGTTTTCATAATTTACAAATTCACTGTGTGTTTTGAAACATGACACTATATCGGTCATCTATGATCAAGTCATCATTCACAAAAGTACCACTGAAAATGATTTAGAACATTCATTTATAATCAAAATCTAAACATGAAAACAAGTAATAATCAACAAGAAACGGCTAAGGACAGCATTATTATTCTAATTATGTTCATGAATTATGTGTTTTATATTTAAGTTTGATCAATGCCATTAGTTGTATTGTTGAAGGTAATCAGCATTTAGTAGATAAAATCTACTTGATGCACATGTTTCTGAAATCTTGACGAATCATGTAATGTTTCAAAGCACTGGAATGTGAATATTTTTGGTAGTCTGTACTCCTTTTACTAATACAAAAGTTTACTTATATTTAGAAATCAGTATTTAACAATAAACGAAAGAAATTAATTTCTCGTTTGACAGACAACATATAGATTTACGTTGAATTGTTTAGGTTTAAGAATCAGCTAATAAAGTACTATGTATAAATCATGCTCCAAGAAATTGATAATTTAAAACAAAAATAATATTTAAATTCACTTAATATTACTTGTTTGAATCTTCTCATTGATGTTTAGGACTGCAACTGGTCAGTCTCTTACTGGCATATGTGCATACTGTGCGCATTGCCTCGATATAGCCTGTAAGCAAAGATGGATATGTTATGTATTTGACCTAGGCTGTAGCCAATTGTTAGGTCTGACTGATTTTGAACGCTATATTTGCTTCCCCAGGCTAGTTCCATACCCCCGAGCTAGAACTATACACCGACTTGAAGACCAGAGAAAAAGTACAAAGTGTGTGGGAAGTGCCTTACTACAGAATTCATTCATGTACAGAAAATACAGGGATTTTATAGTAATTAGGAGACCTTGAGTTTCCATTGTAGCAGTATGTTAAACAGCCAATCGTTATTTTATTAACATAACTTCACACAACTTCAAATTAATCGCTGATTGGTTGGGGCTCTTTATGAGCCTCTGGAGGCTCTGATAGAGTTTACTGTAAGCCGACTTAACAGGATAGTGGTTAGCAGTGAAATCCAGGACGCGCGTCACTTTGTCCTATTTGGGACTCGTCAGCTGGATGCATATTTAATAAAATTTTAAACATCGTTTGCTATAAAACCTTGTAGAACTATCAAAGTGGTCTTATTACTCCTGTTAAACATAGTACTTTAATTAAGAATAATAAACTTCACTGAGAGGTAATAAACTGGTAGATAAAATGATGGTATTTATAGATGCAGTAGTACGTCATCGATTTATTGTCACATAGAACTGAAGGAAGAAAAATGAAAAGCTTTTATCTGAAAATATTTGAAATTTCCTGAAACATCATTTAGCCTTGTCCTCGGACAGTAGACTTTATGTCAAACATTGCCAGAACTGTAATTTCCCAAGGAATTTCACAAATATTAAGTAAAACAACAACACTGTTGATGACAATTATCAGAAGGCCTTGGTTTAAAATTGCCTTGTTGTTAGTACGTTTTAACAAGATCTATTCGTAATTATGAGGAAATCAAAAATCCCTGTGTGATTGAAACTAAGTGTTCCAGTCAGACACGTTATTTCTACGATAATCAAGATGTCTGTACTTAGTAGTACCCTATTTCATGCTGTCTGGTCATTTGTATTGATAGATTTTGAAAAGATAATAGGAAATATTAAGATATATTCATTCAAGCACCGTACGGTGAAAATACTAACTGGACATTACAGTTGACTGAAGCTTTTAACATAAATGTGAAAACTTTCGAGTATTAGTCAAACAAGCAAGTGTATTCTGTATAAATAAATGTAAAATTATAAAGTGACAAGCACATTTTACCATAGAAACACTTACCTAACAATAAAATCACAGTCTGTATGTAACATGATATTACGTTCATTTATTACATGTTCTTCCTGTTTTGTTTCAATAATATGCTGTTTTCTCATCTTTTTTAAAGCATATGTTTTTGTCTTATCACTCCCTATACTTACCTGTAGATCAATCAGAAAATATAAATCAAAGAGAATAACAGAAATAAAGGCATAAACAAAAGGTATTTCTAAGCAAAGATGGATAGTGGCTAGCAGTGGAATCCAGGACGCGCGTTTCGTCCTATTTGGGACTCGTCAGCTGGATGTACCTGCATCTCAGAGTTGATGTTCACTCTGGCACAAATGCCAATAAGATACTGACCACTTATAGTCCTAAACATCAATGGGAAGATTCAAACAAGTAATACTAAGTGAATTCAAAAGGTATTTCGTTTATAATAAATCGTGATAAACTGATTTGGAATTAAAGGTAGATTGAATCAACTGAAATTGTTTAAAGGTGTCCATAAAGCTAATTTTGTTTACTGTTCAGCCTGTAAATCTGTAATCTTAGACTATACATATGATTATTTTAGGCAAATGTGTCATAGTTTTTGACACTTCAGTACATGGTATGGATTTCTGCAAAGCTAAACAGTTTGTATACATAATAATAAACAACATGATTCTCTCGTTCGTCGAAGTATCAATCAAGGTTTATCACTGAATAAATGTGTACTACCTTATTTTTACAGTGTTACAAACTGCCATTTTCATACTAAACACTATGCATTAAATTAGCTATTGGCTGCATTGCACCTTAAGATTTAGGATTGGACAAAATATGTTTGTATTTTGAGACTGATGACTTTATAGATCTCAGTCATACATCAGGTTAGACAAAACTCAAATATCTCAGTGGTAACATGTTTCATTATCATATTGACTGAAATGGGTACAAGCCACAAAGCAGTTATTAGTTTCTCCATGGTTGTAAATACATCTTGCCGAAACTTACCAACTATAAGGCGATTTTGGACCTGGACGTTGCGCTAATTATCTTCAATGACTTAGTATTTACTTATTTAAAAACAAATTTCTATTAAACTTGAAAGAAAACATATACAACTGGAAAATATGTCAGAAAAAATGTCAAATAAAAAATTGATCTATTCAGTTTGTATAAATCCTATAAATACATTTAATAATCACTTACAAGCTCAACGCGACCAAAACCACCAGATCCCAAAGTAGACATAATTTTTAGATCTTGCAACTTTAAGTTTTTAAATTCTGGCTTATATTCTTCAATTCTGAAAAAAAGTTTTAAAACAATACAATAAACAATGCTTACATTAACTATGATTAATAGTAATAATAATAATAATAATAATAGTTGGAATTGATGATTATATAAATCTATAGATTCACCAGTACAAACTGAGAATCCAGGGTAGATGACAGTATTATGTTGGTTAATATGGATATAAATTTTATGATAATTGACATTGGTTGGCAAGGTATTGATTTTATTCTGGGAGAACTGACAATCGAATATAATCGGTAGATTTTTGCACGAACTGAGAACTATATAAGATAGTATAGGTTAATGCATAGAGACTAATTCGTGTAGATCGTGGGCGATTGAGATTTAAGAGTTAAAAGTAGATTGTGTTACTCGATTTGCTTCGGAACTTACCATTTTTTTAACTATCACGTTTTGGAATGCCAACGGTATTTGATTGTAATATGAAGAAACCGGATCTCATTGACTGTTTGTTATCTATTTGAAATTATCTTAAATTATCTAGTTTAACTATTTGGGAGTAATGAGATTCTGTTATAGTTCAATTCAAGTAATAACATAAAGTTCACTACTCTACTCGATCTTAACCGAGTGGTCTCGATTAGTTTGATATTGTCGATTGATGTGTTTGCAAACACTCAATGAACTGAGAAACTACTGAATCATTCTGAAATATTCCAGTCTTCTGGCTTGAAAATGAATGTTTTGAAAGGTGTACTTATTGGTCAACAGCAGTTATAGTAGATTAAATATTACGATGAAGGGATATAATTTGTTTGATATATGTGGGTGAAGTTTTGAGTTGGTTGATAAATTAAACAGTATATATATATAAACTTTCAGGAAACCGTTTCACCAGTACGCTATATACATATATTTGTTACTAGTATCAAAATGAACTGCCAAAACTACTGGAATGTTTTTGTTTTAAATGAAATGGTTCTGATGTCGCTTGATAGCAATCTAATCACTGTACTCAATTTGTGAACAAGTCATCTTGTTAACAGCTCTACTTCTTACATATATCTTGAGCTTATTACCAGTGTATACAGCAGGAATAATTAAGGTCAATTCCTTAATTTGATTTGTGCATCTGGTATATTGTGGTTACTTCATAACTTTAGTTTCTTTACAAACATTATCAAGCGATAAAAAATTTACGGTAAAGCTTTTGACACATAAAGTTTGAACAATTTTGTCACATTTGTTAGAAAGCTAGTCTTACTCTTGATTGGCTAAGGGTATCGTTGAAGAAACCACTGCATAAGCATACAGTAAACAAGTGTTAGAATTATTCGTTTGAATGTAATGGATTGTGTTTAATTTTGTTACGGAAGTATTGACTCATGTCGCCCCATCTTCACTGTCTCTTAACTTTTTATAAATGACTCGGAGTATGGTTATCAAATAATGATATATTTGAAGGATAGGAAGAAGAGGGGAAGTATGTGGGTTGGAACACTTAACATTCAACAACTGGGTTATAGGTTTGGACCCAGCTCCGCTTATTTCATAATTGGTTTTCTTTTAATGAAGTCTGACTGAAGCTCAAGTGCACTAAGATGAACTTGGTTACTAAGTTGCAGTGGATTGTACAAGTATTTATAACCAGATGTAAAAGCCACTAGATAGTGTCAGATAAATTGGAATGTATGGAGAGAGTTGTATTCAATAAAATTAATAATTGAACGAAGGAAAACATTTTAAAGTGCTTTCTACCTATATTTAGTTATGAACATTATAGCAATAAAAATTTTCTTCGTGCTTAAAACGTAAGAGGATGATGGAGACTAGTTTACATTGAAGATAATTTTCGAAAACCAAATGACATCAGCTAGCGAATTATTGGAAAGCACTGAGGACTAAACAGATACTTCAACCTAGTGTGAGGATGTTCGACAGCCTGTAAACATGATCCAATATATGATGAAGCTCGTTACATTTGTACCCAAAAGTTGCAACTTATCGGCTAACATTTCCAACTTTATTCACGTCACGATATTGAGTGACCAACATTCAAATGGATTTGTAGGAGACCGTTTACCAACGTTTTGCTAGTATAGCAAATAGATGTTGCTTCGACATCTTTCCTCAATATCATCTCTTTAATTAAGTTGCTGAGATACTGTCAAAATTCAATCCATTTAATATCCTGTGAACTTCTAGTTTAAAACTTTGTTTGAGATTTGGTAAGTTGTGAGAAAACTTACGTAGTTTCTTGTGGTTTCTCTTGTGAATATCTCCTTTTTAATGCAGCCAAATCAGCAATCAGAAGTTTATATGACCTAAGTATAAAGAGGAATTAATAAACAAATAATTTTCTTGATTTAGAGAAGAAAACTACTCGGCAAAATGAGAAGTAGTCAGATACTATCTATGACAATCTTAATACTTAACTAACAAAATGAGTCACTTCACGTAGCGCTAACCGAAGTCGACTGAAGAAAATGGTTTGAGTCGCTATTTTGGAATTTTCAGTGGACAATAACTCAAACTCAGCTCTTCGGAAGATGTGAATCTGTAACTGATGTCTCAGAACAACAGATTATGTATTCTGCAGTGTTTATTAAGGTTCTCTGTCATTCAATGCTAAGAGTGGGAGAGAAGAGGAGCAGCCAGAGTAATGTGTCTAGGTTGTGAGTTATTTGTTTTCATATAGCCATTTCTTCAAACCTCGTAGGAGTTGTACTGTATATAACAGATGAGGTAGTCAAACTGTGTTAATGTAAACAATGTAAGTTAACTTTCTGATTCCACGACAGAGATCATGAAATGTTAGGTAATTTCCATAATCAATAAAGAGAAATTTTTTATGATTGTCAAACAAATGACTATACTTAATATTTTTCAAATCATTCACTCTGTTGAATCGTTGTCAACAATAATTAGTGATTACTATCTCAGAGAAAGGCGTGTAATTGATAAGCACTTTTGAATAGATATTTTTATTAAAAATTAATTCTTGACACAACTGATGAATTACAGAGAGTGTTGTTGATAACAAAAGGTTTCAAAGAATTTTTATTTACAAGTTGTCTAAAACCAAAAAGCACTATACATGAGTGCCACTATGGTTCTACTCAATACCGAATCTAAGAACCTCGAATTTTGTGTTGAGCACGATAACGGAATACTGAACCATTTACAAAACTGTTTATTTTATTAGTTTTATATTTTTCATAGTATTCAAAATGTAATCTATTTGTTCACTTGTCGGAAAGAGGAATTAGTCACTCTGAGAAACTTATCATAATATCAAGTATTTTATTATTATGTAGTATGATATAAGTGATAAAGCACTGATTTGGTATTCGATATAATGGATATTGGTCTAAACGAATTTTATATTGCAAAAACGAATGAATGAGACTTACTCTAAATCCAAAGCTAAACATGTTACACCTTCATCTTCAGTTGCAATAATATTGGCCGTTCGTAAGTTATCACTGGATTAAAGAATAAAGTAAAAAGTAATCATTTTATGAATTAAAATAAATTCGATGCTAATTAATCAACACAAGGAGTATTTCATATTATGGTATTGTGTGGTTTTCAAGTGCAATATTGTATGAAAGTCCAACTCCTTTTCGAAATGTTGTTTAAGAAAACAATGAATGGTTCTCATTTAAGCCGTATAGCTCAGAGAATGTGACGAAACAAGTATTCATATAAAAAACTTACATATAATGATCTAGAGTTATCATGTTAAAGAATTCGTTTTACTCAGGGGTTTTGGGCTACAAACCAATGATAGTTATGTACACAGAAACGGTAATCTTCACTTTATCAAATTAATAATAATTAGGAAACGATTCATTGTCAGAAAAAAAGTCACTTCCTTCATGAATATGAAATTACCCAGTTAATGCTTTTTCACCAAACCAATCTCCTCTACCTAGTGTACGTACAAACTGAGGTTCTTTTGTACGATCAATTGCGCCATTCTCTGTTGTTGGATAAATGGTCACCTTTACACGACCATCAGCAATTATATAGAAATTGTCACCTCTTGCACCTTGACGTATGATATATTCATTTGGACGATAAGTAACTTCATTCAGTTGATCTGCTAATTTGGATATTGTACTGTCTGGTAAATTACTAAATGTTGGTACACTAAAACAAATGAAAAAGTTAAGAAATGAAGGTCATGTTAAATGTGTATGCTATTTATGTAAGTGTTACTCCAATCTATTCGAAATAATTTCTGACACAATATCATGTTTTGGTGATCATATTACTTTGATTGTTAAATGTGTACAACTGTTACGCTTTACTAACAGTATTTCAATAAATCAGAAAAAAAATCATAACTGTTTAATGAGTTTATCAAATCAGCAAAGATAATCATTTCTTAACACAGTAGTAGCCGGAAGATAATAATTTTGAGACCTGTTTCTTTTTAACAGTTAATATCAATGATAAACTTCAAGTAATCAAAACATAACTTTGATGGAGTTTTATTCTTTGAGCTAGATGGTTTGGTCGTGGAGCTTTCATCGTCTTTCTGAACGACATCGTCAGCACGAACTTTAGGTAGAACTTTATTTAGTAAGGTGAGAAATGTCATTGAAAAGGTATTTGATGACAAGCAGTAACTATCTGAATTAATGTGATTCAACGTGGTTGGTGGCAATAAAGAGACTCCTATAGACATACACTTCGTTCTAGTTAGCAAACGACCGGGAGGACCAATCAAATAGTTGAGGAAATAAGGATATACAACTTGATGATTTTCGAAATCAGTGGAAATCATTGAACCCAAGCTAGACAGAAAAGGCTATTTTCGAGAAACGTTGTACTGTACTCTGGTTACAAAGAGGAGAATGCTTCACACACTCAGGGAGTTACTCTGGTGCTGTCTAGCGAAGTAAGTAAAGCACTCATACTATAGAAACCTTATGGATTCAAAATCATTAAAGCATCATCCAAAACAAAGTAGGAAGGAGTCACAATGAATTGTATCAACTGTTATACACCCACCAATGATAGGAATGAAGAGGATAACGGTCAGTTTTGCGAGAGGCTGCAATCGATCATAGAGAGGTGATCAGGAAAACACCTGAACATCCCGATAGGAGGTCTAAACACTAAAGTTGAAATGAAAAACAACGGTCATGAAGATGTCATAGAACGACATGAACAAAGAGAAAGGAACGAGAATGGTTGTGGCCAAGATGAAACTGGAGCTAAAAAAACACTAGACAACTAGAGAAACAGAAGCACAAAGGTTTAATACAGCCTTCCTTCAAGATACTGATAAACTCAATGAATTCAAGATAATTCTCAACAACAGGTTCCAAGCCTTACAGGATCTACAGAAAGAAGAAACTACGATGGAAAACAACTGGAAAGGAATCAAAGAAGCATTAACTTCAACATGTCAGGAGGTGCTGGGCCGCAATAAGCATCATCATAACGAATGGATCTTCGTCGAAACCGTTCACAAGATTCAAGAAAGAAAGAACAAGAAGACAAAAATTAACAATAGTCGAACATTAGTAAGGAAAGCCAAGTCGACATTCACTGGCCGGATACCATCAGCAAGAGCCTTCTATGGGAGAGAACAAACCAGATTCCAGCTGAGCATTAGATAGATTATTTGAAAATGATCATGATAACTATTTGAAGTCAATCTGTTGTTACTAAACTTTTTGAAGGAAAACACAGCTTTGCTTGTCGTCCCCCCCCCAAAAAAAGATAATTTTTTCATATAGATAATAGGTTTTAAATAATAATGGGACTGTCCAACATATTTTTTTGACACAGTCTTCTATTGAAATATTAACATCAAGATAACTTAAGCCCTCACTTAAATTACTCATCCCATATCAAATATAATAAATTTTTATTTTATTGTTAAGAGATCATAATTATATTCCTATCAGCTTATATTGCAACACAGATTGTTCTGACAAATTAAGACAGTCTATTTATTATCCGATAGATCTATCTTATTTGAATGCATCAGTAAATTAATAAATCCTGACTATAAATTAAGTTCATAATTATTCTTCATTTGTTAAGTAAATGAGTATCAATGATTGAATACTTCAATATTTAGGTCAATTAGTGAATAAATTATTGATACTTTTAAAATGTGTTAGATGATACTTTCAATGTTCAAGTGTTACTTACAAATCATCGAAAAAATGGGAGTAAATATAGTTTTATTTGAATTGATTTATTACAACTGAATAACCTCTTATTCAAAAATGTTTTGAAGAAAATTTGTCCTCAATAAAGAGCTAAATAGCTAAACATTTATTTATGTAAGTGAAATCATTGTTTCAGCGTAATTTGATCGGATGTTAAAGTATCAATAGTTGTGAAAGAGTCATACAACATTAAGTAGGTTTTAACATTTTGAGATGATAGACAATAATCCAGAGAGTATTAAACAGCTATTTCGTTTCAGTACAAAACCACCGAATGCAGCTCATTTTTTAATTAATGCAGAATCAGTTACCACAAAAATCATGACCAAATTAAATCATCAGGTTAGCATCTAATGGCTTACATTTCCTTACATTTCCTTTTAGGTAACATCGTTGATCATTCTCCAAGTTTTTGATAAGACGCAATACAGATGATAATCTTATATTTCGTTATTTACTTAGTATGAGCTACATTCCTAATGGCCTGGTGTAATCACTAAGAAATAGGCTTCGATGGAATTCAAAAGTTTGTTATTTATCTGAATAAGTAAAGTTCCACCGAAAACCACTGTTTGTTAGTCTATAGATTTTCCCTACTCGACAAACATTTCTTGATAAATATTTTAGCTTTTCAAAGTGTATTTTTCATAGTTTTGAGATCCTACTTTGTGAATGGTGTAATGAATATTGTATAGTAATGGCATTTATGTGAATAAAAATGCACGACACGTTTTACACTGTTTTAAGAATGAAAGTCAGTTTTCGAAATTAATCTATCTACTGATACTAATCACCATTGTATTTGAATGTTGATTTATTTATACATCACACATGCTCATCTATAATTAAGTTTTTAATCAAGAATGCAAATTAATTGAAGTTGTCAACTTCTAATGGGATTCATAGTATTGTTCCAAATATATATATATGCTTAAAAAATCCAAACAATTGCATACTAATCAACTAACCTTTTAAGGAATGTTATGTAATCATTGTGTTTTTGTAAATGATCTCGCATCAATATAGTTTGAAATGATGTTCTATCAATTGCCCATAGTGTTCCATTAGTTATAGCTGAAAATAATAATAAGTTCTGGATAATTAATAGTTTAGTAATGCAAAAAGTGATTGTTTTGAAATCAATTCTATGAATCTTTTTTCTCGCACGTATATTCAATTGTAGTCTTTGTTATCATTGAGATATGGTCATTTAAAGTTGTATTGGGTACAACAAATTAGGTTTCTAAATAGCCAATCATTTTGCAAAACTATTTGAATGATCATTGATTATAAATAAGTCATGATCTTGATAACACAAAGATATTTCTTCGTTTTCAAGACATAATAAAGATTCACTTAGTATTGTTTGTTTGAATCTTCCCATTGATGTTTTAGGACTGCAATTGATCAGTCTCTAATTGGCATATGTCCATACTGTGCGTATTGTTTCGATATAGCTTGAATTCATGAGCGTGGTTAGCAAAGATGGATAGGGGTTAGCAGTGGAATTCAGGATGCGCGTCAGTTTGTCCTATTTGGGACTCGTCAGCTGGATGTACCTGCATCTCAGAGTTGCTTACACAATAAAGATGTTGTTTTTTTTCGAAAAATAAGTTAATTGATTTTATTTAGTTACATCAACATGTTATAAAATTTCAAAACTATAAAAGGTTCTTCCTGAGAAAAACTCTATGAATAGCTATAAATCGATTATATTGCTTCAATATCTGGCCAAAAGATCATTTTGATTTCATTATGTTATTCAGGTAAATATCTTATATTTATATCTACAAAGAATTATTCAATCATTTTGGCATAATCATAATAGAATAAATTAATCATTATTGTATATTACTGTTTAGTATTATTAATGAATAAACAAACAGGTCTAGGTCATTAATAAAACCATGACTTTTCTAATAAACAGTTCATTTAAATGAAAAGGTAAAAGAAAAAAAATTTAAAGAGAATTGATTAAATAAAAATATGCACTCGAAATGTTTTATTATATGGATATATGTGTGTGCATAAATATACATTTAAGAAAAGTAATAATAAACAGAAGGGATTTTGTGGAGATTTCAGTAATTCTATAGTTGAAATCATGAGTCAATGGATGCAAGACCACCATGGAAAACCTGAGAGCACTGGACAGCGGTTTCGTGGTTAAACACTCTGGCACGATACTGGTAGATTCTGGGTTCAAATCTCTCAGGGCGGGATCATGGATGCACACTGCTGAGGAGTCACACAATAGTACGAAACGGCCGTCCAGTGCTTTCAGATTTTTTATGATGGTCCAGCTTCAATTGACTCATGATGTCAGTTATATAAAATGTATTTATTATTGAAATAGATGGATTGTTGAATATATCATTATATTATTATAATTAATGAATGTATCATTACCATTAACTTCATTTATACGAGCAACTTACAGACCAGAGTTATTTATTCATTTATCATTATTAAAAATGGGCCCCCGAATACCCTGGTATGGCTAAGACTGGGGAGAGTCCGCTCTTCCTCTCGAAATGCTCTCACATGGCCACGCGTATATAGCTTTTGTCAAGGTAGTACTGCTCACTGCCTTCTCGTGGCATTACTGTTGTTTACGAAATTGAGAGGACAAAAAGCGAATGTACACCACTTTAACCGAGCAAGTGGACCCGGATAGTCTACCTAGGGGAGTTGTCAAACTCTGATTCCAAACCAATGGTGCACATGGGCTCCAGTATCCTGAGGGAACAAATGGCGTATTAATCTATCGTTGGTCACTGGCTACCATGAGACTACATCTCTTTACGATGTTCCACTGTTTTGTGGATCAGATCTTGAGTTTAAATACTCTGGGTGTGGCCTCTTAAGAAAACCACGTGTTTCAGTTTGGGCACCTATGCAGTATCACAGCCATCACACAAATCAAATGAGATTTGTGTGGCGCATGTATATTTGGTGCCGTCTTGTACCAATATTTATATTCACTTACTATTGTTTGTTTGGATCTTCCCATCGATGTGTTTAGGACTGCAACTGGTCAGTCTCTAATTGGCATATGTGCATACTGTGCGTATTGCCTCGATATACCTTAATTCACAAGCATGGTAAGCAGAGATGGATAGTGGCTAGCAGTGGAATCCAGGACGCGCGTTTCGTCCTATTTGGGACTCGTCAGCTGGATGTACCTGCATCTCAGAGTTGTTGTTCACTCTGGGACTCGAACCCAGTACCCTCGCTTCAAACGCCATCGCGTTATCCACTCGGCCACTGAGTCCTGATAGCCACTTGCTTGTGCGATGGGGTGAAGTTTGAATTCACTTACTATTGTTTGTTTGGATCTTCCCATCGATGTGTTTAGGACTGCAACTTCACCCCATCGCACAAGCAAGTGGCTATCAGGACTCAGTGGCCGAGTGGATAACGCGATGGCGTTTGAAGCGAGGGTACTGGGTTCGAGTCCCAGAGTGAACAACAACTCTGAGATGCAGGTACATCCAGCTGACGAGTCCCGAATAGGACGAAACGCGCGTCCTGGATTCCACTGCTAGCCACTATCCATCTCTGCTTACCAATATTTATATGTTTAAATAAATAAATAATAATAAATAAATTATTAATGCAAATTGAAGTTATGTCTGTTAGCGTTTGACTATAGACAGAGTAAATTCGATTATCATATCAATGGAAATATCATTTTCATGCATATTGAATATTAAATATTATAATAGGAATTTATTTATAGTATGAATATAAAGCAAAATTTCCATATTAGGGAAAACATTTCACGCATATTTATATATATATACATATACATATAGACAAATAAAACAATAAGAGTTACATATTGGATGCATGTTTATATAATAATAACATGGAGTTTAAAGAAAGTAAAATTACATTCATGAAACTAGTGATTGAGTTAATGTATCATTGAATGTTGTTACACTTTATCATGTAAATGGATGATGTACAATGTTTTTCTTTAAAGATCAAAGATGAATTTAAAAGTAAAAACAAAAATGAAATAATGTATTAATGATTATAAGCAGAGATGGATAGTGACTAGTAGTGGAATCAAGGACGCGCGTTTCGTCTTATTTGGAACTCGTCAGTTGGATGTACCTGCATCTCAGAGTTGGTGTTCACTCTGAGACTCGAACCCAGCACCTTTCGTTTCAAACGTCATCAATGAATAGATTAAAGAATAATCAATAGGTTGTTGAAAAACTTACCGGTTCATGATTGTTTTTTTTTAAGAATGAGCTTCTATCAAATGAGAAGAAAGATCTACATATTTTACAATCAAGTTAATGACTTCCTAGTTTGTAAACCGTTTAAACTTTATTGATATTAGAAATCTGGTTGTCTTTCACACATTAAGGAATGATCCGTTTGTGAATCCCATATTTAAGTATTTGCTTAGTTTTGAGTCTGATAAAGTTGCTTGACTAGCTATCCTTCTGTATAGTGATTGAAATGTACTTTTCTTTCTTCGTCCATGTGTTAAATGTATTACAGTACTGGTTTCTGCTACATCCATGTTTACAATTTATCCTCTATTGATTTCGATGAGTAGTGCATAAAGGAACGGTAGCTTGTTTTTGATTCTTCTTGTAATATTAATTGTGCAACATCCAATACGTTACCGATTAAAATCGTAATCAGTTTTTGGGCTAATTTATTTAGTAACCAAGAATATATAACGTATTTAGAAAATTCCAAATCCTTGATCGATCACTTTCAGGACCAGAACTTAGATTTCTTCAAATAATCCTTCCAAGTATGAGAGATCATATTAGAGTACCCATAAATCTTTGGTGCATTTTACTTAGCTAAGAGGATTTTGTTCAAGACTAATTCATGAGCCAAAATTAAAATATAACTTTAAAGCTTGGTGTGTCTTTATGAGTAGAAGGCATACAGTGTCTTTCGCAAATTTTAATTTAGCTGAGATATATAAAGCCGCAATGTTAAAGGATATCAACGGTTTGTCGGTACAAATCTGAATTTCCTAAGTGTTGATGGTTTAATCCTGAAAGAGGATGAAAGCTTCACAATTGATCCATCAGTTCAGGGAAATGAAGCTCACCACGATCATCTCTCCAGGCAGAAAATCTTTGTCACTATATCTACTCCATTACAGAACAAACTACTCGTGAATCATTAGAGATTTGAGTTCTATTAGAATCAAAAACGGCTCTGAGATCGTTATTTAAGTGTAAATGTCCTTAGTTCAACGATTAAGAATAAAATAGTCTGGGTTTCTAACTATAATTAATGACTTACCCGTCCTTAAATGCTAGCAAAACTGTCTGTTACGATCTCTTACTAGAAATTCAGGACTCAAAAATAATCTTATTTACTTGCCAACTCAAAATGGCGCACATAACTGAGTAACTTTAACGTAGAATATAACAGCACTTCACTCACTCCTAGTTTTTTTCGGTCTTACGGATGCATTTAGTCCATCACAAAATGCCTTCTTGTAAAGTAAACTTATTCATTCAACAGTAAAACAAGAAACTTTAGGATTCTTCAAAAAAATGTAAATATGATTAAGTTAAAGGTAAGGTTCATATCATTTTAAAATCTTCAGTAAAAATGAAACAACATACCTTTAACACTGGCAGTTCGAGTACAGTTATATAAAACAGCTAATTCTCCTAGTACTGTCGGACGATCTAACACTCTTAATTTTCGACCATCTTTGGAAATTTCTAGTTTTCCGTCTGAGAATTTAAAATGAGAAGATATAACAAAATGACTGATTAGTCAATACATAACACGTATGTGACATAACGGACACAATTTTTAAATGAGATCACGTTCAGTGATCAAAAAATGTTACAGCACTCAGGGACAAAATTTATCTGTGTTTTAAAAAAATATAATCAGCCTTTAAATAGGAATAATATATATTTGTAAAATCTCAGCGAATGAATTTGTAGTAAATCCAACGTTTTGCCTGGCAATCTGGTTCAAGCTTTTTCAAGGAATTATAATCAAACATCAAAATTATGGAATACTGTAAAACAAATACTGTGAAACTATTCGCTCTAATTTAGACGAGAGTTCTTATATAATCAGTTTTTTTTTACTTATAGCCATCGTAATAAAATGTACCTAAACATTAGTACTTTAATAAACACATTTTTCATCAAGAAATGAGATCGAATAGAGGATCATTAGAAATTAGACAGTTGTTTGAAATCTTTTTCTAACTACTGAGATCAAGGCAGTCACTTATATATAAAATATCATTATAAATCGGTCTATGACTCGAGTTGTCTGAATTTAAAATTATTAGACAGGGATTATCTATAACGATTATTCATCCTTAGGAGATGAAACAACTGATGAAACATTTTCCTGTCCATCATATCACTAAGGCTCAATAAAAAAATTGAAAGTAAGGTAATAAAACCTAAGAAGTATAACTTTGTACATCGGACAGAAATCCAGCGATCTGCATTTTCAACTTAGTTAATAGTTAATTAAACGTCAAAAAATCTCTATAATTCTGCATGAAACTTTATTTCCCACTGATGCCTAACTTTACTTCTTATTTACAACGTTTAAACGTTGAAAATAAGACACATAAAACTTAAATATATTGGAAAGAGATTGAAAATTTGTCAACATCCTGAAGTAAATAAAACTAGTTTTAAATAACTGACAGTTTTCATTTGTCTTTTTAAACTGTTGGTAACTTCTATACAACAAAACCCATACTTCTATGCCGAACAAGATATTTTATGTAAAATATTGGGTTTGATTTCATTCAATTGTTAAGAGTGACCTTTAAAATTCACCTTGATTTACTAATTATGTTATAGGTATTTTTAAGGGCACATAGAAGAGGAGATTTCGATAATAAATGTAAATCACTATACACTGTTAAAATATCTATGTATGTATTATATAGTTTAACATATAACATAATACTTCATGTCTGTATATAGTGAAGAGGAACCACTAGATTAAAGTATAATGTAAAAGTTCCTTCAGGTCATGAAATTAAAGATTAGAATATTCTTTAAAATAAACTTTAGTCAATCAAACAGAATATTATCAGAGATCAGAGGGGGTTTTGTGGAGAATTTAGTATTTTCATGGTTGAAATCGTGAGTCAATTGAAGCTGTAACCCTATCGAAAACCTGGAAGCACTGGACGGTCGTTTCGTTCTATTATGGGACTCCTCAGAAGTGCGCATCCTCTATTCCTCACTCGCGAGATTCGAATCCAGGACTTATCAGTCTCAAACCAAAGCCCTTAACCACTAGTCATTTATTTATTATTCTATGATTTTCAATGATTCTATGTGATGTATAACAAAAATGAACTTCATTATCAACTATGAAACTAATTAATATTATATATTTATAATTTAGATATTATTATTATTGTAAATCAATAAATTGGACAATGGTGTTTGCTTTCATGAACTTAAAAAAAATTGATGAGTGCGGAATCGTGGATGCGCACTGCCACTGAGGAGTCCCATAATAGAACGAAACGGCCGTCCAGTGCTTCCAGGTTTTACATGGTGGTCTAGCTCCAATCGACTCATGAATTCAACTATGAGAATATTATGAATCAAGTCTTTATATAAATCCTTTTTATTATATACATGCATCTATCTTTCATAAATTGAAGTCGATTGAACGACGAAAGAAGATATATGTCTACACAATAAACCTTTTTATTCGACTATAAAGCTGTAAAGTACTGCTGTAGCCTACCGCTTTTGTGTAAAATAATGTTGACAAAAATCTAGTCATTGGCGAAAGCCTAATCAAGCAATTCTATACCGTTTTTGATTATCAATACTCATCGTATTCCATCACTTACAAAATGATGCGATCGACCATTGAAGCCCATGACTAGAGCTTCATATCTTTTTGAATATGGAAACGAGAAAATTATAAGGTTTTTTTGCTGGTATTTAAATGAACATGGTGAATTAGTTTTTATCTAAATGAGCACTGTTGATAATTTAATTGCAATTATAATTGCTTTGTAGTATTTTATGTTCACCACACAGTAATATGTACAAAAGAATGACTAGTTAGCACATTATTTGTTACTACTTAATGATCAGCTAGTGTGCAAAGAAATCTTTTATACAAGATATTGATCGCACTTTGCAAAGCCCATCTAGAAGGTCTTTGACGATCATTCGAAAACTGACTAAAAGCACGTGTTTTTAATGGTGACGATCAACCAATATGAAATTCATTATTGAAACTTTGAGAAAAGTGCATGTAAATTTTAGGAAAATCATCGACTTTTAAATGGAAAATGGAATCGTAAAAGCCACTAGAATCTTTTGTCACCCTGATCTGTGTATAAGATAAGATTAGATATCTACTAAGGTTATGCCCAACAAGATAACTTTGGGAACTCTGTCAAATTAATGAAGTACCCTTGTTCGAAAGGTTACTATTAAAGTTGGGAAATGAAAAGTGGAATATTTTTAACACCACGATCGTGGGTCTTAAACTTTGTAGTGAGCAGAATGTCGCTACCTCGAAATACTTCAAAATAATCAATAGGAAAAAATCTACTAAACAATGGCATTTTCTAAAGTAGTTATAATCAAAAAATTTGTCGATGTTGTGTATTCCTATAGAACACAGGTTTCAGTAGTTACTTTTACAATATTTTATTTTACATTCCCAATTAGGAACCAATGTGATGTCGGTTACTTATATCCACATAGGTAGTATATTACGATGGTCAAACATAGAATGTATTTTGGCAGAAGATCGATAGGGGAAGAACAGGAAAGAAGCGCAATCGATATGAAAATGCATGAACAATGAAATCAGAGAAGGTGGACTGATATTTGCAGAAGGAACGGTTAAGTTTGAAACAGTTGATCGTTAGTTTTTGCAAATTAACTGTTTACGGTATAGTTATCAGATTTTAGTGAGATAGTCTGTAATTTTGACACAAATACATTCGATTTTCTCCACACGTTTTCTTGTTCATTACACCAGTTTCTTTTTTGTCTCTCAAATCCTATTTCCATAGGTTTTTTAAATTTCTTGGTTTCATAACATTTATAATAATTAACGTATGAATAATCAAAATTATATTTCTTTCGACTTTTCAGATTTATTTATTATTATTTATTATTATTATTATTTATTGATCAGAGGGGGTTTTGTGGAGGATTTAGTATTTTTCACAGTTGAAATCATGAGTCAATTGAAGCTAGACCACCATCAAAAACCTGGAAGCACTGGACGGCCGTTTCGTCCTATTATGGGACTCCTCAGCAGTGCGTATCCACGAACCCGCTCTCGCGAGCGAGATTCGAACCAAGGACCTACCAGTCTCGAGCCGAAGCCCTTAACCGAAAGACCACTGAGCTGGCATCCAACGACCGTTCACCAATTGTCTTCAGTGAGATGATATCTCTACAACAGACCTGGTAGAACGCTTATTTATTTGAACACATGAACATTGATAAAAGGAAGCAACAAATGGATATGCGCCGCATAAATCATTCAAATTATGTGAGGGCTAGTACTAGGCACCCATGGGTGCCTAAGCACCACGTCTAATCTAAACCTGATGTTATAAATAAATTATTTTAATTTTTCTAAGGGTATAATCAATTGAAGAGAATCTTCACAATAAACGAATACATATTATTTGGTTACTAATAACACCATTGATTTATGAAAGTCTACATGATGGAAAAACTTTATCAAACCTACTTTTAAATTGAATAGTCTTTTACAATTATCTCTTTTTAATCATCTCTTATTGGTATATGTGCATACTCTGCGTATTGCCACCATATAGCCTTATTTCACCCCATTGTACAAGCAAGTGACTATCAGGACTCAGTAGCTGAGTGGATAACGCGATGGCGTTTGAAGTGAAAGATATTGGGTTTGAGTCCCTGAGTGAACATCAAATCTGAGATGCAGGTACATCCAGCTGACGAGTCCCAAATAGAACGAGACGCACATCCTGTATTCCACTGGTAGCCACTATCCATCTTTGCTTATAGTTATATGGAATGTTATAACTTATCTTAAAAGATATATATAATATATACACAATAAGGAGAAGTGGAACGAACATTTTTGTATTAAATTACGTTGTATCCATTTACCTCATATTTAAAATACTAATGAAATTTTAATGGCTTTAATGATTTCCTAATTCAATTATTCATAATATCTAAGTAATTTGTTTTTGTATAAGAATAAGCGTAGTTAAGTAACTAATGTGTTCCTATGAAATAATCTTCTATTTGTAGTTCATTTACACCAAGTATTCTTATTTGTGTTATTTTTAAAATGAAGAAAAGAACATGGAATGTATTAGAATCAAGAAATATTCTTTCATTATTATTGAATGTAATGGTTTTTTCTTTTTTGTTAGATGAACTTTAGATATTTCAGTTATGCAGTAATTCATTGGATAGTCATGTGTTTGTTTCCTTTTTGATTAGGGAAAAATATAATACAAAAAGTAAATAAATTATTTACAATAAGTTACAAGCATTATAACCAAAGTTGGATAGTTAGTGGCCAGAAGTGAAATCCAGGATGCGCATTTCGTTCTATTTGGGACTCGTCAGCTGGATTTGCCCGAATCTTAAAGTCCCAGAGTGAACATCAACTCTGAGATGTAGGTATATCCAGCTGAGTAGTCCTGAATAGGACGAAACGTGCATCCTGGATTCCACTGCTAGCCACTATTCATCTTTGCTTATAAAGAATAAATTTTCTCATTTGGAATTTTATGTTAGAAAATACATATATATAATCAGTGATAATGGTGAAAAAACCATCTAACATGGTTATATCTCTGTGTTCACTAGTATTTATCTTTAAAATAGATTTCCAACAATACTAACAAGAGGCTACAAACTATAGAATCAAAACATTTACGCATTATACGATTATTGAACCGGTGGATTATAGGCATTCTAAGAGTTGTGAGACTCAACGGTACTTGTTGCACTCTTCTATGAAGTCTTCAAGTAGGACAATAATAATAATTATAAGTTTCAAAGCTCACCACATGATAACGGAATGTAAAGTAAATGAACTTTGAAATAAATAGATCTTCACCTAAGCTACATATATTATGATGCTTCACCCTTCCTACTTGGCAATGTTCGAATCGCATGGAATATTATTGATGTAGATGAAATCCAAGGGTTTTGTGAATAATTCTTATAATAGTGAAATAAAGTTTTATAAAACTTGTTTAATGATGTAAATCATGATCATTTTTGAAATAACCTTTTGAATATTATTGGGAAAAAGTATGTTAATGTTGATAGAATAAATTAAATAATTCACCGCTAATTGCTTGCATATAGTTAAGGCTTAATTTGTTTCTTTAAATACAAACCATCTATAATGACTTCCAATTTTTAACTTCACTTCCCTGATGTATGTGAAAAGGGAATGACAAAAAAATATTTAAACTATTTAACTATCGGTCATAGATATCAACAAATACAATTTGTGTCGAATATCTTTTGCACGTGGAACCCTTGATTTTTGCTGAAGTTATCTGAATCTGCACTGAAGTTTCATAAAAGTTCAAGTACTTCATTCATGACGCCGACAGGTAGTATTCTCCCAAGTATCTACCTTTTTTTTCCACTAATCAAGGAATAATGTTTTATATTTAAATGTCTAGGAGAAAGAAGTAGTTATATAAGTTGCAAAGTTTCATTTCTATTCCTTATTCCTTCTAAAATTACATTAGCTGAGGACTCATGGGATTCCTCATTACACTGGGCTGCCGTTTCACTTCAATTTGAAACCACTTGTCGGTTATCAATTCGATAGAAAAAACATGAATTCAACTTCATGATTCATAGGTATTTTGATAGCCTGTTTTTTGATCGCATTGGAATTATAAGATACGCGATTCTGACAATTTTTAAACAAAATCCAAACAGATTTCTTCTACTCACTGATTTACAGTTATTATGTATTTATATAAACTCACTAATAAATCTTTCCTGAGATATTATAACACTGTACATTTATTGTTTGGTAAACTAATGACAGAGAAAACGCTTAGTAATAAGATTTAGGAAGAAGGAAGAGGGAAGACATATATGTCCATTATTAAGCAAATGTGTCATAACTATCTTATTAAAATTGATTTAATGAAACTATTACAATATTTAACTTCTCTTCTTTCATAACATTGTTTTCTAGATTATCCACAACTGTATAAGTGTTCATTTTATTTAAAATATCAAGAACTTGTATACTATACCATACAGACTGATAAATGACCACTTTTAATTGAGCTCTTATATTGAGTGAATCATTATATTTGTTCTAAGTTAATAGCTTTATAAGTAGGTCAGATCGTAAGTATTGAATTGAATTAATCTGTCTTTAAAGCAAGTGCCTTCTGAAATAAAGGTCAACGAAATAATAAAAACAACAACGTGTTAACCCGATAGTCACTCGTATTATTTACAACTTACTCTATAATATCTACAGACTTTAATTTTCACTAAGCAGTATAACAGTTTACTGCCTAATCTGCAAATATAACATTATTATTATACAACATACTAATTGTAATTTTGTAAATAAGAATATTAAATAAAAACAAGTTTAACATACCGCCTAATACATACACTAACGAGCCATAATCGCCTTCAGTGATGATCATTTCATCCGCAGTAAACTTTATACTATACATACAATCGACTAACTGACTCAATTGACTTGATGCAATATGATTCATGAAGTCATTTTCCAGAATAGCACCTTTTATCAATTTACGAACACTGTAGAAAAAAAAAGAATTTATAGCAAACAGTACAAGTACTTTAACTCTTTTTCGTCAAAAATTCAACAAACATATTTAATTTAAATATATGAACGTCGCTTTTTCAGATTGATTTACACACGTGAAGACAGTTTTCATTACAGATTGACATTAGCTGTAGAATCACTGTAAACTACAAAACACTGGTTAGCTTTTTTTCATAAAGACGGGTTATCAAAAGAACATATTCAGAGGAATTATCAACTCAATAAATGAGCATCTGATCTAGTGATACTTATAAAATTAGCCATAATATCCAAAGTCCGAGAACTTTAAGTTTTATGGAAAACCGTTTTATACGGAATGCAGAAGTGCGAATTTCCGAGTAGCTTAAAGAAAACATTGAGATTAGGTAGCCTATTCTAAATATGACTAAAATGTGATCAGGCCGTAACTAACGTTAGTCTAGCCGAAACAAAGTATTGAATGAATCGCGACTGTACCTATTAAACACTCAACGTACTTATGTTAAGGCAAGATTTCAGAATATGAGTTCATAAATAATTGTAATAAAGTGTATGTGAGGATGTAGAGGTCACGATTAAGATCTATGAGACAGCAGAAGTTAATGATGTGATGTGGATCATTGATAATGGATCAGAATCCATCGCAACTTGTAGCAATCTGAATTGTTAGTGTTAAACAAAAATGTCTCTCCCTCACCTGTTTCAATTTACCCCCAAAATGTTCAGGCTACTTTCAAATATAAAGTATCTATATTCCTTATCATTTCAAGTAGTTTGTGGAAGTTGAACTGATATATCATTTAGAAATTAGAAAATTGCTTGGAGATAACACTACAAAGATTCAGAATGGGCTATTTGTTTACTGTAAGGTGTTCAGTATTAGGGCAAATCAAGTGCTGAATTATCATCAACATTAGTTATTCCCTCAAAATATAAGAATTACTTAAATTGTCTTTATGAATGCATGTCGAATTATCTATAACCTAAAGGATATTTGTATTAATTACTACAAACTTTGTACAATTCAGATCTGAACTTAATCAATACCAGAGTAAAGTTTATCCAATTACGAGTGATAACAATTATAATCTTATCCCGCCTGAACTATTTCAGTAGTTTCAAGTTGTTACTATGAGTGAATGAGATTAGATATATACACCCTGTGAATGAAAAATAAATTGTCTACTTACAACTGAAAACTCAAAATATGAATTTATTTCACTATGAGTATCCCCTTATTCGAGAAATAAGGGTTTAAGTTTGTCAAAGGTGAAATAGCTGTCACTAGCGTGATTGGATAATGATCATGCTATATCGCTAATTACTCAAAGAAGAGTGCATGAACAACTGAGTTTCCATTCATTGGTCTAAAATTGTTGCGAATGTCTTGAGTTCTGAATGTTTGAGGTCTTATTTCATATAAAATGATGAAAATTTACAAAATAGAAAAAATTATCTGCTCACTGTTCATTGTACTTTGAAGTTAACTAAAACTTTGTTCGTTTTTGATCAAATCTATATCACGTTATGGTAAATTGGACAAGTATATTTAGGAGAAGTAAACTATGGAAAAGTGAATGTATCACGTTTATTCATTACATATTCTAACTGATTACCGTAAACTTAATTCCTTTGTTCATTATTGTAAATTTTTAATCTAAACAGAGATATTATGAGAACAGTTTTAACGTTTTGTTTGTTGACTATTATCTTATAACTTTACAACAGACAACAAAGTAACTGTGAAGAAAGTCGAGATAACCTAAAACACCTCAGTCCATGAAACTGATCCACTCTAATTTGAATTTGTTAGGATATACGAGTTCCCTGAAGAGGGTTCATTGACAAGAACCTAAAGATATCTTATGGACTGTTTTCAACCACCTATCTTACCATTACCTAAATAGCGCAGTTCCGTGTAGATCGATAAGTTTCAAATAAACAATACCAAGTGAATTGAAACTTCACTCCATCGCACAAGCAAATGGCTATGAGGACTCGGTAGCTAGCTGAGTGGATAACTTAAAACCTCTCTTAATCTAAGTAGACTTTTATTGATACTTTTCTCCTTACAAACAAAAATCTTTGTGTCTATCTCAATAAAAAAATCACGTGATAATTCTGATGACAAAGAATCATTTACTATGGTATATATACCTCTTGATCAATAGAAGCCTTTTGATTTATCACAGGATTAATTGCACTTTCAAATAGCTAGTGACGTATTGTTTGTCTGCTTCAGTTAATATGCACATTAAATGGAAGTATAAAAGTTAAACCATTTTATCCTATGAGAGTGTTGTTTGTGAATATCAAACTACTTTATTGTTACTGACATCTCAAACCTCAAACATCGATACAAGTACCAACCGTTGTACTAAGGAAAGGGTTTAATGCTAGTGTAACAAATTTACAGGACATTTTGGCATTATTCATCAAAAATAATTCAAATTAAGATATACTACATGTCAAAAGCACAATTAAGAAAATAAACTTTTGGTTTAGCATACATGAATGTTTTATTTTAATGTATACGATTTTCAACGTTAACTGCTATCAGATGGAAACTCTGAGAGATCCAGGACATAAATTACTCACTGATTTACTATGGATTCTCTATCTGATATCTGTTCTCATTTAATATCACATAAGATGTAACGTATTATTTCAAAGGAATTTAACATTTCTAAGGAACTATTTGAAATTCGTTGTTCATTGTATGCAAGAATTCGAATGACCCCCTTGTATAATTGAATATACATCAAGTTGAACCTTTATGAACATCAAAACTTATATGCAAAGCAAAGATATGATCATTGATCAGAAGGGGTTTTGTGAAGATTTCAGTATTTTCATAGTTGAAATCATGAGTCAATTGAAACTAGACCACCATGGAAAACCTGGAAGCACTGAACGGCCGTTTCGCTCTATCTCCACAAAACCCCATCTGATCTATAATCATATGGTCACTAGTGACTGACTTCAAGAAATAGTTCCTTGAGTTCTAGTGGGAAGCATTGATCAGTGGAGTTCAACCAAGTCTGTTGTAGAGATATTAACTCACTAAAGACAATTGATGAACGGTTGCTCAACTTCGTGGATTGGTTGAAGTTAGACATTAGCACCATCGGATGCCGGTTAAGTGCTATGGCGCGAAACTGGTAGATTCTGGGTTCGAATCTCGTGAGGTAGATCGTGGATGCGCACTGCCACTGAGAAGTCCCATGATAAGACGAAACGGCCGTCCAGTGCTTCCAGGTTTTCCATGGTGTTCTCTCTTCAATTGACTCATGATTTCATTTATGAAAATATCATTATTTTTTTTACTGAATATTTTATACTACTATGATGAAATTTCTGTTTTCTATGGTATAATTCTTGTATTGGTTTATTCTTTTTCACCATGAGACAATAAACATATGATAATCATACAAGTTTTTCAATCCCTTCTCATTCATTGTGACATCTTTTAGTCACTGTTCATATTATTGATTATTCAATAATATTTAGTTTTATAAGCTGATGTTTTATATAAATAATTAGGTAAATTAAAATAACACATGGTGTTTATTGTAAGACAAGTAAATTAATCTGTGATATCATCAAATGAGCATATTAAAACCTTTGATGAAAGTAAATTCATTCTGAATTTTGTTACCACGGTGATTAGTCTGCAGCCTTTAACACCTTACATAGATACCAAATAGTAAAGATATTCATTCACATTGTAAATCCTATTCTAATTATAAAATGTTTGAAAAGATTTATATATAGCCAATTATCAACAATTGACATTCATTTAACTCCAGATTAAGTAAGTCAACTGGCAACTTAATCATTTGTGGTACCAAGTGGTGTGGATCTGAATCTCAGACGGCCTGGTAATTTCTCCAATACTGTAAGCAGCTAATGAAATAAAACACATGTATAGAGATTTCCTGTTAATTACTGTTAAGCAAATGTTGTCAAACCAAGCTTAGACATTTTATTCTGGTCACGTTGTCGAGATGATTGAATGAAATGCGTCAAGACAAAAAACAATAGTAAACCATAATCAGTAATCAGTTGTTTGTGTTTAGTAGTTCGACCTTACACTTATTAACTCAAATATTATACATGCGTACTTATGGTTTCGAAGTTTAACGCTTTAAAGTTAATGTGGAATGTTTCATTAGATGATGAATATTCTTATATTCGAAAAAAGTGATGTTAACAATCTTAGAAGTGGGACAGTATGTACCTGTTCGATTTGTAACGTATTCATATAGCCTAAGGTAGCAGTAATTAATAAAAAAAAAGAACGATATGTGAAAATAATACTGTAGAAGATGGAAAATTAGATAGTAAAAAGGAATACGGTCAGTTCAAATTAGTGGACTCGGAGAATGAGTACTCTGAAACAATATAGTTAAAAATTCTAAAAAATAAGCAATCTTTGTTAATACCACTAATGTCTAGCCATTCCTTTCAAAGTATTCCATTATAGATTACTATTGTTTTGCGGATCCTAATCATCAGTTATCAGAGTACATTTTGACACCAATTAATTTTATTGAATAGTATCTGCTAATATTTTTCTAGCATGTAACTCATGGTCTAATCGTTCTTGTAAATAAAGGTTTAAAAATCTAACTACTTAATTACTACTAGCACTTAACTTTATATTGAGTGAATTGGCTATTATTGTACTAGACTTTTGATAGGAAAAGTGGATTTTCTTAGTTACTATTTATTTTTAAAAATATTATTTCGTCACAAACCAACGCTGGATAACATACTAAGTAGAATAAACATCCGTGTCCAACTAGAAAAAGACTATTCATCACATTGCACCCCCACTAGCTACAAAAATTAAACTTAGAACCAAAGTGTACTCATTAATTTTAGTCAGCTTAGTCGAAATAAAATGATCCATATTTTTAATTGTTATTAAATTGTGATGAAAATCAACTTCATTATAAACTATTCTTCATAAACCTTTCAATCAAACAATAAACCTGTGTTTAGTAATAACAGTTAATAAGATCATTTTATCGGTTTCAGCTAAAATTCGGGTCTGTTACAATTTAATTTTGTAACATAATTATCGAATAACAAAAATTGGATGGTATCATACTAGAATATAAATCGAATAAATTTGAAAATGTGATCTAAAACTAATACATTAGCCGTATAATCTGTAATTTGTATAATGATACATGTACATGATTGAATAATCTTGATGTAACATCTTGAAAAGCACCTATTTATTCAGAAGGGGTTTTTTTGTGGGGATTTCAGTACTTTTATGGTTGAAATCATGAGTTAATTGAAGCTAGACCATCATGGAAAACCTGGAAGCACTGGATGGCCAACTCGTTCTATCATGGGACTCCTCAGTGACATTACGCATCCACGATCCACCTCACGAGATTCGAACCCAGGATCTACCAGTTTCGTGCACGAGCACTTAACCACTACCCCACTGAGCAGGCCGTCATCCATTGGTGTTAATGCCTAACTTCAACCAATCCACGATTTTGAGCAACCATTCATCAATTGTCTTCAGTGAGTTGATATCTCTACAACAGACTTGGTTGAACTCCACTGGTCACTGCTTCCCACTAGAACTCAAGGAACTATTTCTTGAAGTCAGTCACTAGTGAGTATATGATTATAGATCAGAAGGGTTTTTGTGGGGATTTCGGTATTTTTCATAGTTGAAATCATGAGTCAATTGAAGTTAGACCATCATGGGAAACCTGGAAGCACTGGACTGCCGTTTCATCGTTTTGTGGGACTTCTCAGTGGCAGTGCGCATCCACAATCCCGCCTCAGGAGATTTGAACCCGGGACCTATCAGTTTCGCGACAGTGCGCTTAACCACTTCATTATTAACTATGAAACTAATTCATATTATATATTTATAATTTACATATTCTTCTTCTTATTATTATTATAATTAGAAATCAATAAATTGGACAATGGTGTTTGTTTTCCTGAACTTAATAAAAAACATTAATGATATTTTTAAAATAATAATGAATGTTTATAAATAAATTTTACTGATTTTGTTACTTATTGATTATAGATTTATTTACAATATTTTTTTTTGATTAAAACTTAAATAATAAAAAAAACCCCGGTAAAATATTAGCGATTAAATTTTGACTGTTATTTGAAATGTTTAAGGAAGGAAAAACCAACCAACCAACCAACCAACCAAACAAACAAACAAGCAGATAAAATTAAAAGAGTCAATTTATTGTGTCAAATTAAAGTATTTGTTTATTTATTTATTTATTAGTAACATATATAATGGACTGTTTCCTATAGTTTTTTATGAATAATTATTCACATGGTGTCAAACTATAAGTAAATAACATACAAAATTAGTCCTTATTTTATATAGTTAAAATCATGAGTTAGTTGAAGCTAGACCACCATGGAAAACCTGGAAGCACTGGACGGCCGTTTCGTCCTATTATGAGACTCCTCAGCAGTGCGCATCCACGATTCTGCTCTCGCAAAATTCGAACACAGAACCTACCAGTTTCGCGCCATAGCACTTAACCGATAGACCACTTAGCCGGTATCCAACGGTGTTAATGTCTAACCTCAGTCAATCCACGAGATTGCTCAACCAACTTCCATTGTCCCATAACAGGACGAAACGGCCGTCCAGTGGTTCCAGGTTTTCGATGGTGGTCTAGCTTCAACTGACTCATGATCTTAACTATATAAAATTACTAAAATCTCCACAAAACCCCCTTGTGATAGTCCTTATTTCTTGTTACATAATCACTTATGTGATGTATGAATACTTGTGATAGTATTGATGTAGGTCTGTTAATCTTACTAAGCAGTGATAGTCAGGTGATGCCTTATTTTCATTTATGATGAAAGCCAGATATAGACATGTCAATCATATTGATCTTTGGCTCCAATATGACCTCAGTCTAGTTGCAAAAGGTTTGATATGTTACTTTGCTTTTCAAATATCTTTGATATTTTATAAAGATACGGTGTTATTAGTGCCAAAACCTGATAGCTTTTTTTCATATATGGTAGAAATGGAAATTCAATAAGTGTTATTATCTTAAAGCATCAGTCTCAGTAACCTGTTAACACATAATACACATATTTTGGTAACGTAAAGAATGAATGTTCAGATAGTCGAATACATACATACTAGAGAAAAATTGAATCAGTTCATACAAATAAACCATTTTAATACAACTTAAATGATGTGTTATAAGCATAGTTGGATGGTAGTCAGCAATGAAATCCAGGACGCGTGTTTCTTTCAATTCGGAAGTTGTCAGATGGATGTTTCTACGTCTCATATTTGATATTGACTACGAGACTCTAACTCAGAACCATTCGCTTCAAACTCCATCATGTTATTCATTTAGTTGTTTAGTTCAGGTAGCCGTGAGCTTGTACAGTGAGGAAAAGTTTGATTCATTTGTGTTGGCTGTTTAAATCTTACAGATGTTTAGGACTGCAGTTGATCATTCTCTTATAAGCTTGTGCGCATTCTGGGCGGGTTGCCTCAATATTGTCGTTAAGTCACAAGCAACCAGCTGACATTATCCTAAATAGCAGGAAGCACGCGTACTCAAATCCAACGCTGGCCACCATCAATCTCTGCTCATGATACATGGCATTATCGAGGATATCCACCGAAGATATACATATACCAAAAACAGACTGGTCAATCGCAGTCGTAACATCAATGGGAAGATTCAAACAACCAATACAAGTGGGATTATTGATGTATTTTAAAATTGTCTTTATCAAAATAGATAGACTGGTTTGGTCAGTCATAATCTAGAAGTAATATGTGGGTTTTTCTCCTTTTTTTAAAGTACGTAATTATACCGAGTACCAAATCAAAAACAAACACTACTATTTCTGATTTTTTTGGTTCTCACAGCTAGTAGAGAATGGAGTTTCCGCATTTTCGTTAATCCACTGAAATCGGAAATGTGAACCACTGAGTATTGGATCAGTGGTCTGAAAATATGTTGGTCCTGACGTCTACCTGTGAAGAGGTTATAGCCTACAACTACTGAAGAGTTCCATATACAGATCTAAACATGAGTTTATAATCCATTGTCATCAATGATTTTCTAGCTTACATCAGTTCTTGATGTAAATTTCCTTCGATACTGTTCATTAAATATTAGTCTATGATAAAATTATATCTGTAATATCATAAAACTTCTAACCAACCGTTTAAAAGATTAATGTTTGCTCAACCAATTGCGTTACTTTAGCTCTTTTGTAAATTAACAATTTAAGCAGGCTACCTTGCTGAATCATGTGAAGTCAGTTGAAAATTTGAATGTAAGGGTAAATTGTTTCGATAGATCAAACTACCTGACAACTACTGTATTCTATTTATTTTTCTTCTTTAGCTCCTAAGGTAGTTCACTATACCAGTAGGATAGCAGGATGAGTTATAAGAAATTTTGTGCATTTACCAACCAATATCTCCATAAACATCATGAGAATGCTTTAAGATAAATAAAACTCTTTCATAAATATTTGTTTCTTTCTTTGCTAAGTTAAAACACTGATATTCTTACTGAAATATGTTTCAGAATTTATTCGGATCACAAGTCATTTAATGGAAATTGATAATTTATCGTGACTACTCCTAATGTTTTTCTGATGATGGTAATTCAGATAGGTAATTGTTGATCAGTGGTTAAAATGGTCTACTGCTGTGATCAACGTAATAATATTCAGTTGACTGCCAAAATACATTTACTAAATTTGAGCAGAATAATGTCCTACATTCTATTACACATTTTTATTTACTTCATCAATATCATCTAGTTGGAAATGGTGTTTCCCGGTCAATCAATTGCAACTAAACACCCTGAATCACCTGATAAAATGAAAGTTTCTAACTGTTTAAATCTATAGGATTATTTTTCAATCTAAATATCCATTTTTTCACATGTCCATGTTAAAGCAGTGGACTTCAAATTTAAGGATGATAAGAACCAGTACTGTAATTTATTGTGTACTTATTCTATCGATTATTTCTAATCATTATTCGATTTGATTCGAATGAACTTTAAAGGTTCAACAGTATAATTACTACCATAAATACAGTTCACAAATGCACCTTTTCAAAATAACACAGCTTCTATTAAACAGTAAACATTCATTCGTGAATAAGCATCTTCATGGATGCATAATAATTGACCTGAATCAATAAAGTTTTTTTAATTACTGAATTTCGCATCAGTAATATTAATGTGCTATTATGGCTTCAGTATAGAAAACAAATTATTTAAATTTTTTCAGTACAATTTCCAGGTAGATTAATCGTTAAAATAAAAGACCTGAATTTATCAATTTTATCGGTTTTATTCCGAACATCAGTATTTTGATAAGAAGTAAATTATGTCTATTCCTGAATGACATTTTAGATTTACAATGGGATGCAGATAGAATGTGTTTATGAGATAATAGAAGTAGTTATTTTACATAACAGTTATGTTCCGATTAAAATTTTGGTTATTAGATTAGATTAGGTGTAAACTATCAAAAATTGGGTAGCAATAGACGAACGTTTGGCTGTAGTTTTAGATTTCACTTTAGTAAGCCTTCTGAAGATTGAAGAAGAAATTATGTCATATCAATCACAAAATCCATACTAAACTTCTTTATATTACATTAACTTGATCTAAAACAAATCACGAACATAGATACTCTTTTGCAAAAAGTACATTATATATTGAATTTTTAAACTTACTCCTCTGACTTTGGATATGATTTAAGCTCTTTCGATTGAATTTCATCTTCATTTTGAGGTTCAGCTGATATACCTATACCACGTTTTCTTGTTTGTACAGTTGGATCATGTAAATGTTGTTGATCATTACCACCAAATCCAAATACAACATCATTTGAACCTAATGGTCGTTCTTTTGTTTGTTGTGGTTGTATTTGACCTTTAATCGCAGTTACTGGTGTTGATAATGATTGTGATTGATTAAATACACTTTGATATTTATCCAATAAACCGGATAATTCCGATATTCTTTTATTTTTTTCAACTAAATCTTTTTGTAATTGAATTATTAATGCTTGTTGTTGTTCAATTTCATTTTGACATTTTGTATGCATTTTAAAACAATCACAACACTTTAATATCTATGATGAAATATGATGCGCGCGCGTGTGTGTGTTGATTTGAACGAGTTATGGACAATTTAATTTATATAATAATCATAAGAGGATCGATACAGGACCGAGACCATTTCATGGATGAATAACAATAAGAGATAAGGAATATTTTAAAAAAAACAAAAAACAAAAAAGATTTCAATAAACAGAGTTCATTTTAATTTAGGTAATATTACAGGCAATAAAACGATTATGTAACTTACATTAAAGTGAGATACTTTATCTGTGATATATTTAAGTGACTGTATTATGATGATGATGATGATGGTGATTAAATGATGAATAACAGATAGTAACAGGTAGGTATATTTATTTTACTGTTTTCTCTTTGTTTCTCTCACTTTGTTAATTATATATCATACAAGTTATCATTCTACGTAAAGTGTATTTATTATACTATTGGTTAAACAATAGCCTCTCTATCTCATGTACATACATGTGTGCATTTGCGCATGTATTATAGATGAATTTATTTCAATTCAAAAGTATACAATGCATAGTAATTGTATAGTTCATCAAAATGATTAGTCGAATTATTCCATTATTCATTATTCAAGTGAATGTATACATATGTGTATAATGAACACATTGTTGTTTATTGGGTGGTTGTTGTATATCAAGATAGGGTAAGTGAATATGTATATTATATAATGAATAATGTTTAGATACAATAATTATAGATATTATATAGATAGATAGATAGATAGATTGTTTTCACGTACGTATGAGCACATTCTTATTTAGATTTGAATGTATATAATTTGTAGAAAACTATATTTCTCATCAAAATCCTGTTGCCGAATTGCTTTTCCCTGATGTCATCACTATGGTATATAAAATGACAAAAAAAACAGAATTGATTATTACTCATGGTTATAATTTCAATCATTCTCTGATTGGAATTCACTAAAAGTTACAAGTACTTATAAACAGTTGTCTACGCAAAATACTCAACATCCATTGGCCGGATACTATCAGCAACAGCGTTTTATAGGAGAGAACAAAACAGCTTCCGGCTGAAGAGGAAATTAAGAGAATACATTGTAAGTGGATAGGACATACATTGAGGAAATCATCAATATGCATTAGAAGTCAATCCCTAACTTGGAATCCAGAAGGGAAGCGGAAAAGTGGAAGGCCAAAGAACACATTACGACGGGAAATAGGAGCAGATATGAAAACGATGAATAACAACTGGAAACAAATGGAAAGGAAGGCTCAGGACAGAGTTGAATGGAGAATGCTGGTGAGCGGCCTATGCTCCTCGACGAGGGGTAACAGGCGTAAGTAAGTAATTAAGTAAAAGTTCTGTTACACAGATATTCATAAATGAATAAATAAAAACAATTATACTTACATATGTATACATCTATGTATGTAAATATTTATGTGTGTTTTCTTTTTCCCGGGATTCTTTGTTTTTTAAAAAGCACAATCCTTATTATACTTTTATGTAAGACTATGATTGGCACATTTTTTTAAATACAGTACAATTAGTGAATAGACAGATCGTTTTTGGGAATAATATTGTATTAACCAATGAGAGGAAAATTTGTCACATAAATAAAAGTCATACTATGGGTTAAAAAAAACAACAAATTTATCATATTGAGGTTTACATTATTTTGAATGGAAGAAGAATACCAAGTGTGACAAGAAAAATGGATTTGCATTTTATTCCAAAAGTCTTGTTCCCTAAATGACTTATGGTTTAACTCCTAGTGATGTTTTTTTATTGTTGAGTAATACAAGTTTCAAGGTCTATGATTAACAGATCATGAGATAACTCTTCTTTTAGTCTAACTGACTTATTCGCTATCCACAAAAGATGACCTAAAGTTAAATTAGATTCAGTCAATATTAGCCTTCTCACAGAAGCAAAAATAACTAATCGAAGAATTCAACATCACGGCTGATTACTATGAAAAGTTATCAGTTTATTATTGGTTACCATACATCAGATTCTAGTATTTTTAATTCAGAGATCATGATATTATCAATGACAATAACTGTAGAATTATTAACAACTTTCTACTCTAAATAACAACAGAAAATGTAAATGGAATTCTAAGATGATGATTCCAACAAGTAAATAACTATCAGTATACATTTCATTATTGAATCTTTCATCAGTCTTCAACTTTTAAAGTTAACACATAAAATCCCTATTTCTAAATTATTTAAGTAAAATAATCACATAACATGGTGATTTTAAGTTAATTCACATGTGATATATTTGCGATTCAACATATCTATATAAAGTGTTCTTCATTGTTCACTTATGACTATGACAGTAAGATGATTAACTATTTCTATGATAATTTAAACACTACATGTTGAAAAGTGTACTTACATTATACTACTATTTATGGGAACTTAATGAAAACTAAATGTTTTCAGTTCATAGCTTTATGTAAATAAACGTAATCCATGATAACAAACCACTAAAAAATGATACAGTAAATAATCAATCCTAATATTGTTGTACAATAAGAATGTATAACTATTATACATTTCTTGCATTTTCAGTATTTATTCAAACGCTATGAATTCGAGAATATAATGTCTAGCAGTCAGAATGCGCAATTTGTTCTACTTGGGACTCGTCAGCTGGACGTACCAGCATCTCAGAGTTGATATTCACTCTGGAACTCGGACTCAGTATCGTTCGCTTCAAATGCCATGACGTTATCCACTCAGCTAGCTACTGAGTCCTTATAGCCATTTCCTTGTGTGATGGCGTGAAGTTTAAATTTACTTGGTGTTGTTTGTTTAAGTCTTCCCATTGATGTATAGCATTGCTATTGACCACTCTTTTATTGGCCATATGTGCTTACTGTGTGTATTGCCCCGATATAGCCTTAATTCACAAGCATTCTAAGCAAAGATTAATAGTGTCTAGCATATATGCCAATAAAAGACTAATCAACTACAGTCTTAAACATCAATAGGAAGATTCAAACAAACAATACCAAGTGAATTGAAAACTTCACTCCATCACACAAGCAGATGACTATGAGTACTCAGTAGCTAGCTGAGTGGATAACGTCATGGCGTTTGAAGCGAACGGTACTGTGTTCGAGTCCCAGAGTGAACATCAACTCTGAATTTTACTAATTATTTATATTATTCATCAAACTTTTTAAATTAACCTCACTTAATAGTTGTCTAGTTAAGAGGTTTTAAATATAATAAATGAAGTTTAATATCATCAATTTAGTTAGTTCTATATCGAGTAAATTGTTTCCACGTCATCATTTTACTGATGATGATACTTGAGGAACATACAATTTGCGTGATTTTTAAAGATGATTGTTATAATATGACTTAGTCAGGTAAACTTTTATTTACGTACATTAAATAGTCATTGAGATTTTTAGTACAATATCTTTATGTAAACAATCACTAGTTTACATCAATGCTGTAAAACAGATAGCCCTGGATATTTATATCCTATTGGATTATAATATTATGGTGTGGGTTACTTATATCCACATAAGTGGTATATTACAATGGTCAGGCATAGAATGTATTTAAGTAGAAGATCGATAAGGAAAGAACGAGAATGAAGAGCGATTGGTATGAAAATGGATAAACAATAATAGTCAAAGACAATGAACTGATATTTACAGAAGGAACAGTCATGATTGAGTCAATTGATTGATAGTTTGCAAATGAATTATTTTACTAAGATATTTTGTAATTTTGTGCTAGAGTATATTCGATTGTTCCTACTCGTATTCTTCTTCACTACAATATCATGGTACTGGCTTATAATAGATTGAATTTAGGATTTACAGATCCTGAAGTTAACACAATACTATTTGATCGTTAATTAAAGATCCAATAATATTTGCTACCTTAATTGTTGTTTCTGGATCGAATCAAATACAAATTGTAAAGCAACTAATATCTCTATACTTTGTCTTTGTTTTGATAGCCTTATATTCGATCCGTTTATACTAATGCTAAACCAGATGAGCTCAAATGTCTTCAACGTCACAAACGTGTGATACTTACGTGTATCAGAGAGGTGAAAGCTTTACTAAAAGTTTCCTATCACTTACTTCTAGTACTCATTGTAAAGAACATTGAGTAGGGGATCTCTAGGTTGATTTGTTGATATAGGAAATTGGTCCCCAAGGAATTAAGAAATCATTTTTACCGTATAATTTTAAAACACTGCATCATTGCAAATGTTCATAATGCCAAGTTTCTAAGTATGTAAATTTAGGCAAACAAAACTTACGAATTCATTTGATACAGATAGTTATTTGATTATTATTTGTATCTGAAACTGACATGAGCTGATTAAACATTGGAGATACTTTTTAAGATTTGTTATTTAGTAGTACCACATACTTAAAACTTTGATCTCATACGATATTCAGATCAGTCTTCAGTCAGTAAGCCTATTGACAAAGATTCATTTTATCGGTCTATAAGGAAACGGTTATTTATTAACATGAACAGTGAATGAACCAACAAAACAGTCAACCAGAATGGAAAGATACGTGAAGTTTTCGGACGTAGTCCATCAAAAACAACGACATCAGAATTGATTGACTAGATGTTTATCAAACATATTTTGGCAAATAATAAAATAATGATATATTTATGATATCTTAATGTGTATAAATAAGGATGTATGACCTTTCGTGACTAAGTATGAGCCACCTTTCCAAAGTAAGTAAATAAACAATGAAACTATATCAACACATAATAATTCAGTTATTTATTTATTCTGAAAAGTTGGTTTACATTTAATCGCGAAACATCAGAAATTCTGGTTTGTGCTCATTGGAATATCACAAATATGTTACGTTTTACTGCCACTCTATCCAATACCTAATTTATTTAGAATTATCAAGTCTAACCTTTACATTGTATTTTTGAAATCTCATTTGATGTTGTTCAGAACCGACAATGAAACCATAAAT